GCTGAAGGCTTGTGGTCGCAGCCGCAATCACAGGCACCAGCAGCACCAACCCTCCCATCCTCGGCCCGACCTCGAAGTCCAGCTGAGGCCAGCGGATGCCTCGTGAACTATGTTCTACGGTGGCCCATGTGTCGCTGCTGAGCAGCAGTGTCATGATGCAGGCCAGGGGTCCTCAGCCTGGCGGAACGTTAGAACCCCCTGGGACTCACTGACCCACAAATGCTCCCTGTCCCAGGGCGAGGGCAGCCAATCCTGGACCAGGCAGTGACCCGAACGGGCACACGGGTGCAGAAAGCAGAGTCCACGACACAGACAAGGTGCGGTTGTCCCGGGGCAGGGAAGGGGCCTCATCTCTGGCCAGAGCTCTCTGATGCCCCGGCTTAAGACTAAGGAGGCTTCGGGCACAGGGGTTGTGGTGGGAACAGACTCGGAGCTGCTTCGGAGACGTGCAGCGCAGGACACGTGGGTGAGTGAAGGACAGAGGCAGCTTCCCGTAAAGAAACAGAGTGCACAGGCTTGGGGTGGAGGAGAGCCCGACGAGGGCTGGGAAGCAGGGCCTGGAAACCGTGCCTCTCTCTCTCCCGCGCTCTCTTCTTTCATGTCTGCCCTCTTCATCTGCTTAACTCCCACTCTGCAGCCTGACGTCTCTGCCCTTGCGTATCCGCACACTCCTGCTGCCCATTCATTCAAGGGATACCGATGCAGCACCTACCTCTGGCCAGGTCCTATCCCAGGCACGGGAACAGCCTTGACGAAACAGACAATAACCCAGGTCCTTGGGGAGCTGAAATGCTACCGGGGGCCAAATGCGCCCCTCCTGTGACCCCCACCCCTGGCTTCGCCTTCCTCAGCCTGCCGGCAGGCCCCCTGACCTCCAGCGCCTGTCACCCTCTGGCACCGCCCATCGTGTGGCCTTCTCAGCTCATAGCACCATGTGAAATGGCCTTCCCCTCATCACCTGTGTCGCCTCAGTGTACCTGGCGATGCTCAATATTTCCTCAGTGGAGGAAGGTCCCAGCTGCCCTCATGGCCCTTCCGCTGAGTTCTGACCACAAATTCCCGCCACAGAGGCCTGGAAGGACTCCCGGGGTGGGGCGTGGAGTAGGGGCAGGGGCTCGGGCACCCTTGGTGTCATAGCGCAGCTGCAGTGCCTCAGCGGCGCCCCAGAGGCTGGTCCCACGTGGGCCTCTCCAGGGGCTCAGGGTAGGGCGGGGACCTCCCAGCGCCAGCACAGACCCAGACGGCGGCCCGACCGGCTGCCTTCTCCCTAGGACAGGAGGACGGGTGACCCTCGTTGCTGCTCAGCGTCTCGGCCACCCGGGAAGAACGGTCAGTTCCAAGGTACTGAGCACCCTGTGTGTAGTTATACGTTTTACCTGCATGATCTCAACTCCCTGAAGCAGAAACGCTTTGGGCTACCCACCTGGAAAAATCAACGCGAGTGCTTTAAAATCACTGCACTTAACACAATCCAGACGCGAAAGGCCCCACCCACCTGCCAGGCGGTCCAGCGGCAACTCCAGGGATGCAGCTTCTTTTCTCCTCAGCGTGTGTCTTCCTTAGGGCCTCTGTCTGTCCGCCCGGGGCCGGGGAGGGGGCGGGGCAGGGGGGGTGGGGTGGTGGAATGCTCCAACTCCAGCATCACACTCACCTGGTCAGAAAGGAGTGGGGAGGAGGGAGGAGCTCAAGGCCTGTGTCTGGTCTCTTTTTACAAGAGGCCCAGCAGGTAGACGTGCACTTTGTTCCCCCTCCTGGCAGCAGGGTCACAGCTCGGGGTCACGCGGCGAGCACGGCATGGCTGGCACTGGGCCTATTAGGCTGGACCCCCGTGCCTACTCTTAATCAACCCACTGCCCTCCCAGAGGCACAGGGAAGGTTCCAGGTGAAGCCTGCAGGCTGGGGAGCGGGCCCTAGCAAGGCCCCAGAAAGAGCTGTGACGACGCCCTGCCCTGCCCCGCGCTCTCCCAGAACTAGGTTTTCTCTCGGGGCAGAGAAGGACGGAGGGGGTAAAAGGGCACCCTCCAAAAAAGGTTTGATTGTTGTTTTTGTCAGCTTGACATTTGAGACTTTAAGTGTACAAAGAAAGGTTACAGAATGAAAATAATTAACGCTTGTCGACACTGCTTGTCCCAGAGGTGGACCCGGTATCGTCAGTCTTTTGTGTACCACACTAGAAAATATTCCAGTACTTGGCCTCTCTGTGCCTCAGTTTCCTCCTCTGTAAAAAGAGGATCCTAATAGCTGCACCCTGAGCTTGTGATGGTGATAAGTGAGCTTGCCCTTGTAACGGGCTGAAAGCTGGATTTAAAACCACGAAGCTATACACGCCTCCCGCCCCGAGACCATCCACCTTACACACAAATGGGCCTCACTCTTTTCACTGGGCTGCACAGTTGCTGTGTGTGTCAGAGTTCATCTATTTAACTGTCCCCCGTGGGGACAGTCTGGTTGTTTCTGGTCCCGTCCCCATGGGCGTTTACCAAAACAGGTGTGTGTCTCTTTGGGGCCACCTCCTAAAAACGTGAGCCCTGCCAAACGTCACATGCATTTAAATCTCAGACAGACATTTCCTGATTGCCTGCAAAGCACTGTAACCAACACCCAAGTGTCGCTAGAAAGGTCCCCTTCCCCACCTCAGAGGGGTGTGATCCTTAACGTACAAATTGGCCCCACTCACTATCCAAATAATTAGAAAAGGCTCTTTAGCAACAAGAAAAATGACTCCACATCGAGAGCAATCCAACCCGCCAGGCAACGTCACCCAGATTTTAAACACAGAACGCCCTTATCTTTACTTATACATTACATACAGTCGGTTCCGTGCGTACATCATGGACTATTGCGAAACAATGATGGACTCGTGCCCGTCGGCTCAGCCTTGTCTCTTGTTTCCTCACTTCTGCATAGCCCAGACCCTACCCTGTCAGTGTGCCGGGCCCCTGCTCCTTGGGGGTCGAGGGCCAGAGCGGGTAGGAGGAGGGGCGGGCAGTGCGACCACACGGGCCATCCGTCCCGCCTGAGGCACCACCACGTGGCCTGTCGGGGCTACCATCAAATTCCGACCTTCCCAGGGAAGAAAACAAGCTACACCGGTTCAGGGGCTCCCGGGGGTCGTCAGGCTCGCCCTGCGCCGCCCAGCGGCCGAAGTGGACCTTGGCTGGACCTACCCGCCCCGCCAGAGCCCCACCCCCTCCCCGCGCCCCTCCCCATCCGGTCCCGCCCAGCACTCAACCCCAACGTCCCCGAGCCCCCCCCCCCCCCCCCCCCCCCGCCCCCCAGGGCCGCTCCACTTCTGGGCCGGGAGGAGCCTCCACGGCCCCAAAGGTTGTGCACCCCGATCGCCTACCCCTCCGCTCCCCCCCACCGTGAAGCCCCCTGGGCCCCTCCAGGTGGGCACCGAGGTGAAGCCGCTGCGAACCAGACCGGCCTCACCCCTCCCTGTGGTTCCGCCCCGAGTTTGGTCAGACACGTGGCCCCCGGGGCCAGGGAGGGGCCCGGGGAGGTTCTGGGGGTGGCAGCGTGGTGTCGCCACCTCGCCAACCCCAGTCCGGCCCGGCATGAGCTCTGGGGTCGCCCTGCGGCTGCGGACACTCCAGCGACACCTGGGCTCCCCGGAGGTAGGGGGACAGGCCCGAACTCGGAGCCCCTGAACTCTCCTCCACCTGGGGCTAAGGGGACAGAGCTGAGTTCCGGGAGAAGAACCCCGTGTGGCCACCCACAGCCGGCAATGACTGAGGGAGAGGCCCCTGGGTGTGGAGACCCCGTCAGTGCTGGGGGGAGGGGGCTGCTGGGGGAGGAGGGGGACAGGTCAGCGACCTGCATGGCAGTGTGTCACCGCAGCCTGCGCTGGCTGCTCGGCAATTCCACCCGCAGCTCCTCACCCAGGGCCCAGGGGCAGTTTGGGACTTTGTCCCCCGGGGCTGTTTACACCGACTCCGCTGCCTCATAACGGCAGGTGTGGACACAAGGCAGCTTCCCTGTCCCTCTCGTGGCCCAGGGCAGAGGTATGGAGCCGGGCAGCAGCCCGCTGACCACCCACGTACTGGACACTGCCTCAGGGCTTCCGGCTGAGGGCCTCTGCCTCCGTCTGTCCAGGCTCGAGGACCATGGCCAGCAGTGGACCGAGCTGAGGAAAAGGTAGGAGGGCGGTCTGGGGCAGGATTTGAGTCCAGATCACCTCCCTGCCCCACGCCAGGGCAAGGGGTGCGGGCCTGGAGGGCAGGGAGCAGGGCTCGCCACAGCCAGACAGTCCCCCTGCAGACTCTCGGGGCCGCGCTTTCAACAGGCTGTGTAGTCCTGGTCAGGGCCACAGAACGTGCTGGGACAGCTGACAGCCCAAGTGCCCGCTGCAGGGGGAAGAGGGGTGTGTCTCTTCCTGCAGGCTGGGCCGGCCGAGGCCTGAGGTGGGACCTGAAAGGCCTGGTTGTCACTGACTGACAGGTGACCTGTGCGGGGCAGCAGGCGGGCACTGGACGTTCTCTATATTCTCACTGCACCCTGTGTGCAGACACCACAGGCACCCCTTTCCTAGACTGGGGGGCGAGGGGGGACGGCTGGGGCAGCAGGAGGTGTCCGCTGCCTGGCAGCGCTACCCCTGCCCCAGGCCCAGGCTCTGCTGGGGGACGCCCAGCCCAGACTGGCAGGTGTCATGGGTCAGCTGTGAGCAGTTTCCCCCGACCCTCCCGCTGGCGTGGGCTGGTTGGCTGGACCCCAAAGGTTCCAGGCCTGAGGGTATGGAGCCTTCAGAAAAGCCGGGGGTCCAGGCCCCGTCTGCGCTTGGAGGAACACACGGAGTCCAGGGCGGGGGGCGTACAGATCCACTCCCAACCACACCCCCTAAACTGCGCTGGTAAATGCCACCCTTTCTGATCACAGCGCAGACGCTTGCGAGCATGGCTGCAGGTGCCGGGGGCTCCGAGGGAGCAGAGGCCCTCAGAGCCTCCACTGGTGCCGCTGGAAACAGGCCACCACGCGGATGGCGATTTGGGTACAGTCACTGAACCAGAAAGCCACACGCAGTATATTAAACAAAAAGTACACGTTATAAAACAGTGTGACTAGTACAACCCGTTCTTAAAGTTTGTAAATGAGCATATTTACACATAGAGAAAATCTGAAAGGTACACATGCCAGATATAAAGCGATTATTGCTCACGGGGTAGATTGTGGGAACTTTCTCCCTTCTGCTTTTCTGTGATTTCTCAAACAGTGCGCAGTGTCCCTGGGCTGCTCCAGAGCCCCAGGTCCTGGAGGCTGTCCTGCTCCATAGCCGCCCAGGCCCGCTCACCCGAGTCCCAGTCAGGCTGCGGGGACATCGGAGGCCGGTGGGCACGCAGCCCCGGGGGACCCAGGCCGGGAGCTCCTCAGCCCCCTCTGCAGGGACCCCCCCCTTTCTCTCCCCAGCTACACGGACCCTGACGGCCGCTGCCCTGGGCTCCTGCTGCCAGGCCAGATGAAGGCGGGCACCTACAAGCTGTCCTTCGACACTGAGGGCTACTGGCAGAAGAGGGGCCGGGAGAGCTTCTACCCGTACGTGGAGGTGAGGGCCAGACGGGTGGAGGCCCATGACTCACCGTGACCCGCAGGCCGGCCCTGCGCCTCCACTACCTCGCACCTGCTTTGGGCTCCCAGAAGAAAGGGGTGCCGGGCTTGACCACGTCACACCCGTCCCTGACCTGCTCCGGGGTCAGGCTGACTCAGCCCCTGCGGACAGAGGTTCACCCAAGCCCCGTCCAGCTCACTGTCCCCCTTCAGTTGACCTGTTCGGGCGGGACCCCTTGGGAACCTGCAGGCCCAGGGCCCCTCAGATCGCGTGCTTTCTCTGGGGAGGACCCAGCCACACCCACCACCCCCCAGCTGGCCCTGGGGCTCCTGCCCCCCAACTGCATCCCCAGGTCAGCCGTCTGGGCTGCTGAGTCCATGGCAGCACTGAGGCCAGGCTGAGTGCGCTCCATGCTGGCCCCTGGCTCCCCCGGTGTCCCCTCTGCCCGCAGGTCGTTTTCACCATCACAAACGAGACCCACAAGTTCCACGTGCCGCTGCTGCTGAGCCCGTGGTCTTATACCACGTACCGAGGGAGCTAGCGGCTGACCGGCAGCCGGCCTGCGAGCCCGGACCCGTCACCACGGCAGGCTGAGCCGCCCCCGACCAGCAGGGCAGGCTTGTTGCTCACGGGCACCAGGGTCACACTTCCCAGGGACGTTCTGGCCCCGATTCCCCAGTGGCAGCTGTCACTCGGGCTTCAATAAAGTTGCTGCTGGCATCTGCGAGGCGGCTGCGGTCACTAGGCACGCTCGGCTGGAGCTGCCCAGCCCCAGGTGGGATGGGGGCGGGTGTGCGCACAGAGCTGGCGGGCTCGGGGAAGGGGCCGGACGGCATCGTGGGCCCTGGGGGCGCCTCTCCACACAGCCACGCAACAGGACACGCAGCACTTGTGAAAACCTTCATTTGCTGACGACGCACGTCTACAAAACGAATACCTGCCGTCCTCGGTGCGTGAGGTGGGTGTCATCCGGGCAGTGGCCCCGGGCAGGGGCTACGTTGGGGTGCCCACGAGTCCTGCGGGGCCCTGGCCCAGCGTCTGCCCGATCACGGCCGTCTCCAGGGGCTTGAAGCCCACGTTGTCCAGGGGGACCCCAAAGGCCAGGAGCTTCGCCTCATAGGTACGCAGCAAGTCATTGTGGGCCTGTGGGGACACAGAGGCCTCAGGGGAGGGGTAGCCGGGGCTGACCCTCGCTCAGGCCCACCCAGCCCCTTGGAGAGCTAGCCTTTACCAGGTGCTCACTACACCAGACCCAGACCCTCACACGCTTATTTAAATTTGAGAATCTAATTGGCTTTACTCATGGCAGCATCCAATCTAGTAAGCAGAAGGGTGCTCCGAGGAGCTATACAAAATGGAGGCTTTCATGGGCACAGGAGGGTGGGACAAGGAAGTTAAAAGGGTGGGCACCTTCCCTGAGGGGAGGCAGGGGGTCTTAGGCAGATCACCTCCCACTGCTGATGGGTTTAAATTTCCACTCTAGGGAGAGGCTAAAACTTCAATTAGGTATTAAGTCTTGGTAGGGTTCACATAAGTGACTCCGTTTAGGACCTGTTGTTTCTTTTTAACAGTCCCCCCTTTTGATCAAACTCTTAGCCCGAGAGATATCAAAATTTTAAGGCATTAGTGCCGCTCACAGCTTTTGCTGATTCTGTTTGGGTTTTTGTTTTTGTTTTCCCGAATCTCTGGGATTCACAGGTCAAGACTTCGGGTTCACATTTTTTAAGTCCGTCATTCCCCACGTCTTTTTCAATATTCCAGTCTTAAGGAGATCATTTGCTTGGTGGTTAGTGGCTGCAAACATGCATTTAAAGCTTTTGGGAAAACATAATGCACCAGGAGTATGATTATGATTATTATAAGGAGGACAAACCCCAGTGTTTGGAGTCCTCAAGGCCAAACCAATCAAAGGCCCCACGGAAGGGGCCATCCTTTTAAGCCAAGTGACTTGCCCAGGGGTCTTATGTAGCTGAGTTTCCACCTCCGCACAAGAGTGGGTCCAGATGAGCCGGTGGTGATGGCCATGCACAGACACCTCCTGGCTCAGCTGGAAGACAACCAGAGGCTTTCCTTCTGTCGAGAACAACTCTGGCCCGAGTCTGAGGACTTTTATCGGGCACCACCCAACCACTTCATGTGCGGGACCTCGGGTAACCCACAATGGAAGATGCCCCCACCATCCCTGTTTCACGGCTGGGGAGACTGAAGAGGGTGTGCACTCAGAGCAGGACTGTGGTTTCAGTTCCTGGTCCCTTGCAAGCATTTCTCACTCAGGCTCAGCATCCCTGCCTTCTCAGGGATGACCCCCCTGCCTTGTCTACTGGCATCTATTCCCTTCCCCCATCCCAGAAATGCCGAAACCTGGGCAACAGCGCTGGCAGGGCCAACACAGACAGGGTTTCTGTGCCCCCATCCTTTAAAAGCAGATGTTTTTAAAAGGGCACATTTCGCCAGACGGTTGCAAGCGTTTGAAGAGCTGATGCATGCTACGTGCTCAGAGCCTGGCCTGACGCAGAGCAAAAGCTCAAAGGGGCTCCTTGTCCCCGGCATCGGCAAGACAAGGTACTGGGAGCTGAGAGCAAAGGGTGAGCCAGGGCCGGGCTCCAGCACGACTCAGGGGCTGGGCCCTGGCCCTCACCCACCTCTGGGGTTCAGCCCTCCCCACAGTCAGATGTGGGTTACGGAAATTCCCCCAAGAATGCATATAAGTATCAGGGGTTCCCAGAGCACCTGGGGAGGGCCCTGTGGGCAGGGAAGGCCCAGGGGACTTGGTCACCATGGAGCCCAGTGCCCATGACGGGCACTGCCTTCACGCTGGGGCTCCACAGCCCAGGGCTCACATCTAAGTCACGCGCGCGGGGTGCTCGCCCTCGGGAAGCGCGTCTGCAGGCAGCACTGTGTCTGCGTCCCCACGGGCCAAGCACTGACAGAGCTGCGGGCTCAGCCACAGAGCTGGGGACGCTGGGTGCAGGCACAGACGGCACCAGGGTCAGGGCACTGCACTCCCCAGCTGCAGGAGGCCTCTGTGTGGCTTTCACCAGACTCAGAAAGGCCTTGGAAGACGTGGATGTGACTCTGAGGGAGCAGAGACCCCCCCCCCCCCCGCCCCAAACCGCCCCAGAGGCCAGGCTAGCGCCGTGGCACCAGAGCAAGGGCCGGACAGGGACACAGGGACAGCCTGCTGGACAGGACGCCACGCATGCACTGGGCAGGCCCCATCAGGGACACCAGGACAGCGTCGGAGCCATGCGGATGTACTCCAGGCCACCTGCAGGCCAAGTGACCCTGAGCAGGCGCAGGCCTCAGACTGTGTCAGCACCCAAAGGTAAAGATCAGGTGGGGTCCTGGGTGAGGAAGGGGCCTGAGGGAGGGGTGTGGAGCCCCGGGCAGCTGGCAGAACATGGGGGAGGGGTGGGGGTCTCCTCGCACCTTGCAGACCCGGGCCAGCTCGTACTGCAAGTCCTTGATGGTGCTGTTCTTCGATTCCAGAACGTCCTGAGGAAAGGAAGGTGTCAGGACGTCCACACGGGGAGCGGCTGGTGTGGAAAGGTCTCCAACGGAGACAGATCTGCGTCCCCGTAAGGAAGCTGCCCAGAGGGTGAGAAGGGGCAGCCTGGCCTGCTTCTGGGGCCACCCCGGCTGCCAACGCCATCCCAGGGAAAACCCCCTCGATTCCCCACCTGCCCTGCCCTGGCCCCCAGGCACAGCCATGGTGACTGCCACGGACGGCCGAGTTTTTATCCCCTCACCCTGGTCGCTGGCAGCACTGGGTCGCTGGCCCAGCTGCAAGACCGGCTGTCCTTCCCAAGAAGGGAGCAGGAAAGCCCTCCTCCCCTTTGTGATCCACACACAAGAGGGACAAGAACAGAGACGAGCCCCCAGACTCAGGACATGGTGATGCCGGCCCAGACGAGGCCCCACCATGAGGCTGCACTACCCCAGCCCCGAGAGCCGAGCCTGGGTAACTTGGGTCCTCCAGGCACTGCCACCCACTGAGCCAGGGCCATCGCTCCCCTGTGAGCAAACACCTGGTCTCAGCCAGAACCCTGGGCACGACATCACCTCGGACCCCAGCCCCCTCCTCCACTGGTGACGAGTCATCCTGTCAGCCCTGCCCACCCTCTCCTGCCCTCCTGTTGCCATCTGAGGCCTGTAACCCAGGAGATCTGCTTCTGTGTGAATGAAGAGTAGGGGCAGACAGGGCCCTCCAGCATGGAAGGACCTTCCGTGGAGTCACGGAGGCCAGCTGGGGTCTGTGTCCGTCTCCTAGACCCCCAAGGAAACCGTACCTGGGGCCACCTCAGGCCTGGCCGCTACAGGTCACCCAACTGGCCAGGATCCCAGAGCCAGGCCACGCTTCCCTAGCAGCACCAAAGACCCCTTGTCCGTCATCACCCGTTTTCTTCTGTGGCACGTCCCACCCAGGTCAGGGAGCAGAGGGACAAGGCCAGTTCCAGGTAAGGTCACCGCCAGGGGCAGCAGGGCTTCTGCCTGCTGAGCCAGCGGCAGTGGCAACTGCCGTCCTGAGTCCTCAGCTCACCCTGCTGGCTTGTGGGCACCAAGGCCTCGTCTGTCTTTTTACTGCTGTGCCCCATGCCCAGGACAGTCCCAGCCCAGAGGAAAGCCACACACGACTGCAGACTCTCGAGTGAACAGACGCTCCAGCCTCCGTTCAGATGTGACTCCCTCTGGGAAGCCTTCCCAGCAGCCGTCACAAAGGCCACCCACGGCCCTGCATTCCCCCTGCCACGGCCTCAAGCAGCACATCTCAGTGTCCCAGGCGGACGGCGGCCGTGGCCTTGGCTGAGAGGCTAAGCTGGAGTGGGCAGTGGACTCGGGCTCGAAGGTGCCGGGAGGCGAAGGAGGGGCCGGGGAAGGCCTCAGAGACACCAGGACAGAGCCCGGGAACCTGGGGAGCCCGATGGCTCACACAGGCCTGGGCGCTCGGGCCAGCAAACCACAACAGCCCCTCCCCGAGGTGAACTGAGACTCTCCACTGAGGGACGGAGGCTGGAGCACAAGACAGGAGCCCCGACCGGAGCCCAGGCCGCCGGAAGCCCCTCCCCGGGGGCCCCTGGGACCGACCTCCAGCTTGCGGGACACGAGGGTCAGGGCCGCAGGGTCCAGGTTGGAGGCCGCCAGCACCTCGTTGAACTGCACCTCCTTCTTCTCCACCGCGGTGGCCAGGGCCTGTACCTTGCGCTCCAAGACGAGGTTCTTGAGGCCCACCTTCTGCTGCACCTCCAGGATGGCTGCGGTGAACTTCCGGTACAGCCCGTCCCGCTCCTGCTGCACCTGCGGGATGGGCCCGGGCTTCTCACTGGCAAGAAGGCCCTCCCGGCTCTGCCCCGAGGCCACGGCACAGCACCTTCACCAGCGCCCGGCCACGGGCAGGTGGGTCTGAATCTTCTACGCTGCCTGAACCCCACTCTGTGACCGAATTAGAGGTGTGCGGCTGTCCACATCATGGGTGGCAGGAGGAAACACCTCTGGGAAGGTGTCTCAGCAAGCCACAGGGACCCTAGTACGAGCTGCACAGACCCCCTGCCCTGGGTCTGGGCAGCAGGCTCGGGACCTGATCCTCCCCGTGAGGTCCAGGGCCGCAGACCCAGCAGTGTTGGGGTGGGGGCCCCTTGGAGGTCCACTCCCTCTGCCAGCCCCAGACCCTGGAACACAGGTCTAGAGCGAGCACTGGAGCCACCCACCTGTCCACCAAGGACAGTGTCCTTTTCATCTCCTTTAACTTTTAACTGTGCACCATTAAACAATCAAAACTGAGCAGGGGTGTAAAAAGGAAAAAGTAAACGCTCCTCAACCCCACTTCCCAGAGGCCACCATCTGAGCATTTGCTGGGACTCCTTCCAGAATGCTCTGCACTGCCGTAAAAACACACATCACTGCTAGGAAGAGGAGAGGGCTGTGCTGAAACCCTGTAGGACCGTGTCTTTCTAACTACAGGATCATATTCTCAAGATGTGCTTCGATCCAGTCCCCGTCCTCTGCTCTTTAAAACGTGACGAGTCTGGTTTCTTAGGGGCGCTGCCTGCCTCCCCTGCTGCAGACGACATGCAGACAGAAGAGAAGGTGGTAGAGTCCCCTCCCCACTCACGGGGAGCCGCGTCTCCCTGGTTGCCTACGGACCCTCCCCTCAGCTGCCCTCAGCCTCCGGGACCCTCGGAGGCTCCTTGAGGATGACTCTTGCTCTGACCGCTTACGGGATGTCCTTTCCACTGTCAGTCTGCGGCGGTAGCTGTGCTAACGGCTCACACAGAGGGGGCGGCTCTGCCCTCGGCCAGGCCCGGGGCCAGACCCCGGGACCTGCAGGCAGGGAGGGCCATCTCTGCAGAAAAGCACGTGCAGTGAGACACCTGCCTGCCACCCAATCACATCAGCGAAGACCTGGTGCCGGCGGAAGTGGCCCCTTGGGCACTGTGGGTGGGGCCACAACTCTGAACATCCCTCCCGGCAGGCTATCTGCACCCTGAACGTGAACCTTCTCGCCCAGCAGTTCCCCTGCTAGGAATCGACTTCCCTGAAAGGGATACACAGTTGCACAAAGACTAACTTAAAAGGATGCTTGTAACAGCAAAGGACTGAAACAGAGATTTCAAATGTGACCCGATCGGAGAGACGGCACACAGGCTGAGACGAGAACATGGGCGCTCCAGACGCCCTCACTTCTGGGAAGCGGTGTCCCTACGCCGGGACACACAAGAGTGTGGGAGGAGAGTCAGGAAGCTCTGACCACTTGTGAGCACCAGCGCACGGCCCCAAGGCCCTCATGTTTGCACCCACAGGCTTGCTTACAACGCACACATAAAGATTTCGGACTTAGAAACACACACACAGATGAAGAAAGCCCTTCCTTCAAGGGGCCAGGCCACCTCCACGCTTCAGAGGAGAGCCCCAGGGGACAGCCGTGGGCACCACCCGCTCCCTACCACTGACCACCCTCTGAGACCCGGGCTGGCCGCCCACCGAGAGCCGCGCAGAACGAGGAGGGCCACGGGACCTCCAGCTGCCAGAGCCGGGCGCCCAGCCCGGCACCCAGGCGTCCCGGGAGCTTGCCTGGATGAAGCGCTGCTCCAGAACCTCGTGCTCCCACTGCAGGCTCTTCAGCTCCTCCTCGGTGACTTTCAGACGGGCTTTCGTGCACTGGAGAGAAAATGGGGATGGAGGAGAGAGCACTCCCGACTCAGGCACCCACACAATGCAGCTCCCGAGCAACAGCCAGGCCAGGTGAGCGTCAGAGGGAACCAGCTCCCAGGCCTGAGGGGCTGAGCCACCAGGGCAGCCCGCCGGGGCCACCCATCTCCCAGAACAGGTGCCAGCCTCACGTGCCCCAGGGCCACCAGGCCCAGGAAGGAGGGGCTTAGCGCCCCTGCCCTTCCTGCCCCGAGGGCCAGGCTCCGCTCTGGTCCTCAGGAGACGCCTCCCTGCCCTTCCTGCCCTTCCACACCCAGGAGGAGGTGCCAGGGAGGGCCAGGAATCAGGCAGAAACCCACCAGCAGGATCTGCTTGTCCCTCTTGTAGCCCCCGAGCTGCTTCTGCATCTCGCTCATCTCGTCCCGAGCCTTCTGCAGGGGGTCTGCCAGGAGCCTGTTCTGCGCAGACACCTCCATCATCTCCTTCTCCAGGTGCCTCTCTTTCTTCCGCATGGCCTCCATCTGCTCCTGTGGGCACGAGGGGTGGGGGGTCGGCAGGCAGGACCAGGGGCTCCCCTGCCCGCAGAGAATGGTCCTGCCAGCACCGTGAGGACCTACATCTGTTTTCTGTGTAAACACACAGTATTTTTTCACCGTTTTAACTTATTCTGAATTTTCTAGTACTTCAGCCTCCGTGCAAATTGAGAGATTACACTTTGCTCATGACCCCCAGAGGACATCCTCCACGGCTGCCAGCACTTGGGTGACGATGACGCCCCTGTGCTTCCACCTGACCTTTGACATATCCCAGTGCATACAGGTGTATCACTTCCCTGCCACATGAGGGTTAGGGCAACAGCCGGACCGCAGCCACGGCTGTAGCAGGCAACACAACTTGTGAGCTTCGATCAAGGGCAGCTGAAGGGTCAAATGCTTCTACAAGCAGGAGTGTCGGCCCAAGGGGGCTGGGCACTCCAGCAGCACCTTGAGGGAGTTGATGAGAGCCAGGTTGTTGAGGGTGATTTCGCTGTAATAGTTCCTGATGTCCGTGAAGGCCTCCTCGTGGCGCTGCATAAGCATGCTGATCTGGCCGTTCTTCCTCTCCTCCACCTCATGGATCTCTGTCTTCCTGCGCAGGTCAAGCTCATCCCTAAGCATCCTGACCTTCTTATCGTACTTGGCCTCGATTTCTGAAAGGCAGCAGCACACACAGCAGCTGAGCAGAATGCTGGCCCTGTGGCTACGAGAAGAGATGGCAGCTGTGCCCAGGGCCGAGAACACCCACCAGGACGAAGGCCTCACCAAAAAGCAGACAGCAGGACGGGGCGGGGAGTTGCTCCTGCTCTGTGGCACCAGCGCACACACCACCCTACCCTCCTTGCCCGTCACAGGCATTGCTAATCAATCCCTGCCTCAGGGATCCCAACAGCCGAGTGTCACCCAGTCCCAATGGGCTCTAACCACGGCCAGCCAGCCAGACTACGGGCTCTATCAGTAAACCAAACAGACTTCCGAGGCTGGAGCCTCCGCAGGCCGGGAGACCTGGACGCTGCCCACGAGGCTGGATAACTACCGCCTGCTTCTAGGTGCCGCTTCGTGCCTGAGGGTGTGGGCGGGTACTGGGTGGTCCTCACAGCCTCCCACCTCTCATGGAATAGGGTGTTCTGGGATCCTGAAGAGTCCACCAGCCTCGCTTTGCACGTCTGAGCTGTTTTAACTGGTTTATGTGCCCGGTTAGCAAGCGCTGTTGGGCAGTCCCTTCCTGACGGGAGGGGCTCTGGGGCCGTCTTACACGGAGCGCGGGAGACGCTGACCTCGCACCTGCCGCTCAAAGTCCTTGCGTATCTTGGTGATCTCCTCAGTGTGTTTCTGCAGAGGTGGAAGTGGCCGGTCACTGGAGGTCAGACGGGACGGGACAGACGCCGGCCCCTCAGCCCGGCCCCTCGCCTCACTGGCAAGGAAAGCCCGGCTCAGTAAACCTGTGCTGCTTCTGCTGGGCCCCCCACCTCCGAGCTCATGGACCCAGCCCGGAATAACAAGGTTTGGTAAATTCCACATTTGATAATGGACTTCCCTCAGCACAGGTCACCTCGGAGCTGCAGAGAATGTTGACAGACATCCCGGCCGCTGGCCGTGCCCAGCCCTTCCCACCCTGCCCAGAGGCTGGACAGCAGGGGCCAGACCCACACAGAGCTGCCGGCTCCCCACTGTCGGCTAACCTGCTTTGGCTTAGAACACCGTTACAAATTATTTTAATAGACAGTTATAAATTCTGAATAAAAAGTTTAAATTAGACTCTAGAGCAGTGTTTTCACTCAGAGCGGCACTCTGACCGTGTACCTACTCCACGCCCAAGGCCTCGCGTAAGCAGAGAGCCCGCACCGCTGTACTTGTTGGAAGGCAGCCCACTCTGTGCTTCTGTCAGAAAGACCAGACCGCCCTCAAGCGTCCAAGACTTCAGCTCCCTCAAGCTTCACGGCAAAGTCTGCAGTGTTACTGATTTATTTCCAGATTCAGTTGAGGCTGGGCCGCCTCCAGACATACACAGAGGCAAGTGCACTGACAAAGTCTTTCAACCCACAGCCAGGAACAACCTTTGAAAACCAAAGTTGGACACACCCTCCCTTTGCCCACGCCCTCCAGAGGCCCCTGACTCAGTCCTGTCCCCCAGACCCCTCTTTCCTCACTCCTGGGGGCCGTGGCACTGGTCCATCCCCAGCCCTTCTCAGGGCCTGGTCTCCCCCAGCCCTGCCTTCCCCCCATCCTTGCCCGGGTATCACCTTCTCAATGAATTCCCAGAACGCATAGAAAAATGCAACCACCCTGGTTCCCAGCACCTTCCTGTAGCACTAATGCCCGCAGACCTGCGACACAGGTTTGACAGTTTATTTTGTCTTCTGTCTCAGGGGCAGCCTCCCCATTCTAGACCATCAGCCGTGCGTGGGCAGGCATTTTGTCAGCCCCATCCTCTGTGTCCCCAGAGATCAGAACCGCGCCCGGCGCTTAAGAAGGAGTTCCAACCTCCACCTGGAACCCCGCCGCCTCCCTCAGAAACGACCAAAGAGTCTCAAAGGTCAGCGAGGCACTTGAGAGCACAGCTCACGGGACAAGCTGCTGTGGCTGCCGAAGGGCTGGAGGGCTGCTCACTTCAGGGGCCGCGCGTGCGTCTCTGGGGTCAGAGGTCAGCAGTATGCGGAGAGGGACCCTGAGCTGGATTTCCCTCCTGGGAAGCCAACCTGTTGCTCAAGCCTGAGACAAAATTCTGTGTCTGGACCCCAAACAGGGCTTGTTTGGCTGCATGCTGCTGCTACTGTTGTTTAATTGCCAAAATGCAGGATTTAATATACAGAAATATGAATTCCCAGTTGGAGTGCATCCCGAGGTGCTCACGGCACGCCAGCACCTACCAGCCTCAGGTTCTTCACCACCAGCTCGCCAGCCAGCTCCTGTTCCTTCAGCTCCACCTGCAGCGCCCGCATGTCCCTGCACAGGGCACCCTCCTGCGCACGGCGCTCCTCCTGCGCCAGCTTCATGACCACGGTGCCCTCCGCCTTCATCTCCATCAAGCTGTTCTGATGCTCGTATAGCAAGTGCTTCACCTTCTGCTTATAGACCTGCAGGCGGGGGAAGTACCACCGCTCACCTACTCTGCCCGCTCACCTGCACACACATGCCCACCTGCACAGGCTCACCCACACAGGCTCACCTGTACACACAAGCTCACCTGCACACACATGCCCACCTGCACACACATGCCCACCTGCACAGGCTCACCTGCACACACCTGCACACACATGCCCACCTGCACAGGCTCACCTGCACACACCTGCCCACCTGCATACACATGCCCACCTGCACACAGAGGCTCACCTGTACACACATGCCCACCTGCACACACCTGCCCACCTACACATACATGCCTACCTGCACACAGGTGCTCACCTGCACACACATGCCCACCTGCACACACCTGCTCACGTGCACACACATGCCCACTGGCACACACCTGCTCACCTGCACAGGCTCACCTACACACACCTGCACACCTGTATACACATGCCACCTGCACACAGAGGCTCACCTACACACACATGCCCACCTGCACACACATAAAAAATACCCTCAGTTCCCCACGTCAAGGACACAAAGGGCTGTGACTCCCAAAAGCAAGGCGAGACAACGCCCCTGGCCCCCGGTCCGGCTCCTCTGCCCATGTGGCAGCTCCTATGGGGACAGGCCAGCCCCACGCACCTTGATCTCCACCTGGTGCCTCTCCTCGGCCTCCTCCATCTCCCGGTCTTTGTTCCTCAGCTCAGCCTTCTTCTCCTCCAGCTGCCTCCGCGTGATCTCCCAGAAAGTGTAGATCCTGTCCCGCTCCAGCTGGAAGTAGTTGCGCTCAACCCGCTCACGGTCCAGCTCCTCCCGGATGCGGCCAATGTGTTCCACCACCTGGCAGGCAGAACAGGGCCAGTGAGGCGGCCGGGGCGGGCCACCTGCCGCCAGGGGAGGGTGCACGGAGAAAGGCCAGGAAGAAAGAGGGAGGGGCTGCTCTCACCTCAGAGTAAATCAGAGCTAAAAGTGAGAAGTTAAAGTAGGGGGCTGGGAAGGCTCGGGGACAGGGAACGTTCAGCAAACAGCAGAAATCTCTTGTATTTGGCCAAGAGTCATAAAATGATTATATGCTTTTATTCCTTCCTGGGGATTTACACTAAAGAAATTTCTCAAAAGAACACAGGAGCTTTCCGCTTAAAGATATTAGCTACACCATTATTACAACAGCAAAAGAATTAAAAAGGAAATGATCTAAGATGCTTTTAAGTAGGAGAATGGTTGGGAACTCCCTGGCGGTCCCGTGATAAGGACTTCGCGCTCTCACTGCCGGGGCCCGGGTTCAATCCCTGGTCGGGGAACTAAGATCCCACTAGCCACACAGCACGGCCAATAAATAAATAAATAAATAGGAGAATGGTTGAGAAATTAGAGTATATCAGCTAGAAGGTTCTATGGCCCAACAACCCAAAGATATGAGAATGATGTAAATATGTTCACAAAACAATGTAAAAAACCTTTCACCTTTAAAGATACACGTTAAGCAAAAAGTATGCAAAACCAGTAAACCCGAAACAGTCAAGATGGTTTGGTCCGGAGCCAAATGCAAATCTGCAAATAGGTTAAAGGAAAAAAAAAAAGGGCCACCAGGCCGGGACGGGGCTGGGCTCCCCAGGAGGGAGGTCTACAGTGGGGTCTACTGTGTCAATCAGACAAAGGGTCTAAGCCAGGCTCCTCCCGTCTCTGACCGGCTCACGCTGGACGTTCCATCACTCGATATCTAGATTTCTTATAACTATCTAGATTTCAAGCTTCTCTTCAAAAATCAGCAAACAAACAGCTCTGGAGCCCAGGGCCCACAGGTTAACATGCAGCGAACTGGCCACAGCTGCCCTGAGTCTCTCACTCCTGCCTGGGCCCTGGAAGCTTCCCAGGTGTCCACGCCTGGAACACCGGACAGCAAGGCTCTGCTCTGCAGACTGGCCACTGCCATGTCACAGTTCGGTCCCCACCGGACAGGAGAAAATGGGGAGCCAAGAAACAGCCTGACAGCTGGGGCAGCGCAGTGGGTAAGCCGTTCACGCGGCAGCCTGGGGACCTTTCCAAAGCGCAACCTGACCCACCACCCTCTGCGCACACAGCCTGTGACACAAAGGCTCTCCACCGCTGTTCAAGGGCCTCGGCCCAGCTCTCCAGCTTCAGGTCTTATGCCTGTTTCAGTCACCTTTCATTTCCTTATCTTAAAACCATCAAAAGTAAGGGTCACTAACGCTCACAGGAGTGCATGTCAGATGCTCCCAGACCACACGTGCTCTCACAGTTTGCACACGTTACAGGTTTCAGGAGCCTTGTAATTGAAATTGTAATTATATAACCATGTTCTCTAGCCCTTAAGTTCAGCAAAATGAACAAGTGGCCAAAAATAATTCACAATGTTTAATGGTAAATAAAACAAATGAGAATGCTATAGGTGTATGTACTACGATAATAGCTCTGTAAGCGTCAGGTGCCTACAAAAGATAAGAATGAAAGAAAACCCAGAAAACTTAAAACAGCTTTTATATCAGAAAGACATTTCCTTCCACATTCCTACTACCCTATAAAAAAGTTCACCCATGTGCCTGTAGCGCGTTGTTTTACAACACGTGCTGTGCTTGGGCGTGCAGGCATGGGAGGGGCGTATCCACGTGTGGGCAGGGCAGCAGGAGCCAGGCAGAGGGGAGGTGCACGCGGAAGCGGGGGCAGCGGTCTGAAAGAGGCTCCTAGGAGAAGCGCGGAGTAGCAAACCCATCCCACCCCAACTCAGCGCTGGTCCGCGGCTCAGGCCAGCCCGCTCACCTGTTCCTTGCTCATGTCCTCCGGAGCGAGACCATCAACAATCGGGGTACCTTTGGCTTTCCCTTTCTTCCCTTTCTTTTTGGGCGCCTTTGGTTGAAGAATAGATGGTTGGGTTAGAGTTCACCTTCTGGCTGGCTGATTCCCTCCTGGGGCCGCTTGCGAGAGGAATTCCTGTTCTGGGGCATCCATCTGACTGCCCACTGTCTCCTGCTTCCACCCAGACCACATCACTCTGCCCTAAGGTTCCCCACCGTTAACCACAGGCACATTCTGCTGATACTTTTGGAGCAGCAAGGAGAAATCTGCCTTCTCAGAAGAGAATATTGTTTTCCCTGACAAAGGGAGGAGGGAAACTTGTTCCTTAGTATACAGCAGAGACCCCCTTGGTGTGGATGCAAACTCTACTCGGACTCAAAAAGGAAGATTCCCCAGTACCACACTGTCCAATGTTACCACACTGGCTACAATGCTTGGCGAGCACCAGGAAGAGACCTGCAATAAGCTGTTCAGTGAGTGGAGGGAGAAGTGCCCACAGCAACAATCAAAGCTGGCAAGATGAGGGCTCCTCCCCTCAAAACACAAAACCTCAGAGAACTCTGGTGGAGGAGCCGGAGCGGACTGTGGCGCTCCCTGTGGGCTCTGTCAATGGGGCGAGGCTGCTTTTAACAACTTCAGCAAGGTGCCAGACCAGACCTTCCACCCTCACTCCCTTCCCGAGGGCCGCTCAGCAGATGGCCAATTTCCTTATCCTTCTGCCTTTACTTCTCCCAAGTTTCTGTGGCCCATGCTTGTGTGTACGCGCATCTACGTGACTCAGTAACATTTTTACTACAAAAAAAGTTTTTGTGTGGGGCTTCCCTGGTGGCACAGTGGTTGAGAGTCCGCCTGCTGATGCAGGGGACACGGGTTCGTGCCCCGGCCCGGGAGGATCCCACATGCCGCAGAGCGGCTGGGCCCGTGAGCCATGGCCGCTGAGCCTGCGCGTCCGGAGCCTGTGCTCCGCAACAGGAGGGGCCCCAACAGTGAGAGGCCCGTGTACCGCAAAAAAAAAAAAAAAAAAAAAAAGTTTTTGTGGAAATCTTACAAAACGTAAAGAAAAAAAGGAAAATCACCCTATAGTCTCACAAGCTAGTAAAAGGAGATGTATTCTGGTGGTCCTTTTCCAGTTGACTTTCAAAAGACCCATCCACAGAAATCTTCACTCCTAATACAATGCCCTCTTTCCAATCCCTCTACTCCAATAAGTCCACCCCATCAGAAGAGCCTGAAGGTTTGTCACCACCCAGCATCAGGGACAGTCAGCCAGCGGCCGCCGCCTGGTAGAGCCCCTGGGGCTCCCGCACACACAGGCATCCTCCCTGCCTCCCACAGCTGATGGCCACATCTGCCTGGAAACTGAGTTACCGACAGCCCCTACATCATGGCGGAGGTGCGGTGGCGCAGCTGTGAGCCCTACCGCAGAGAGGGGCCGGGATGGAGAGCCCCAGAGGCAGCAAGCTGTCGCCGTGCTTTGCTCAGTACCGGCCTCACTCCTCGCGGGCTCTCCAAGGAAACAGCAGTTCCTCTACCCTGAAGCTCTGCCCCGAAGGACTCCACGGGCACTGGACATGCTGTCAGGACCCTCCGGTGTACAGGGTCCTCTGACCACCCTGGTATGCCCCGGGCTCTCGACCCCAGAGAATGGAGGACCTGTGTCTCCCAGGCCCCTGCCAGGTGAGACCCTAGATCCCAAGGATCTCATCAATGAGCCTTCCATTCCAGGTAGGAAAGCCCCTCGACCCAAGTTCTCTGCTCTGGACGCTGTGCACACCGGGCCCTGGGTCTCGGGGGCGGGGGAGGCGGGTGCTCTCTGACCACCCACCCCTGTGAGCACAGGATCCTGGAGAGCCCAGGTCTCTCAGCTCCAGGTGCGTGTGGGGTCCGGGATCCAGGGTCCGCAGCACCCTGGGCCCTCCCTGCGAGGACTCCACGAGAGCGCCAAGCCCTCAGTTCCGGGACCCCAGAGCTCCAGGCCTCCCGTCCCGGGGTCTTCCTGCACGCAGGGCTGGCCCCCGAGCCCCAGGTACCCGGCGCGGACCCTACCAGACCTCCACCCCTCCTCACCATGGCTCCGGAGTCCCGGCGGCCGCGACCCGCCGACCAACGCGCCAGCCCAGCCTGGGCTGCGCGGTCTCCAGGCAACCGCTGCTAGGTTCCGCGCGAAGTCTCGAGGACCATCGCGAGAGTCCGCCCGAGGGGTCACGGCCTGGCAACGGCGGGAGCGCGTCCCTAGCAACGCGCTGGGCTGAGTCACTGGGTTTGGGCCGCAGCTGGGCGTCATGCACAAGCTAGATTTCCACGACGCCCGTGAACGCGTTCGTTGCGGGACGTGTCTTGTTTATTGCGGGTCTTCCCCACTAGAACTTAAGCTCCATGGAGGTGAGAGGAACTGTTTCCATCCACTTCTTACTTACTGTACGTGCGTACGGGTCCTACCGTGCATAATTTCAGTTAGTGAGTGACGGGAGGTGCCGGAAAGATATGCACCGCTACGTTTTCCAAATTAGATTCAAATTCAGGCTGAGGCTCTGCCCCTGGGCCCACCCCACCCCCACCCCACCCCCACCCCCGCCCATCTTTGAAGATTCCTCCCACCTGAGGCTGGAAGATAGCTGTGTTTCCACAAACCCTCAGAAGAAACAAAAGTAGGGAAGAGAACATGTTCCAGCTGGGTCCAAAGTTTTGAAATCAGCAAGTCTCCCCTTCGGAAAAACTAACTGGTCTGTCTGAAGAGGTCTTGTCCTTGTGATGAGGAAAAACTAGAAAACTTTGCCAGAGGTTTCCAGACACGCACTGCAGAAAAAAAAAAAAAAGTCATCGGGTTCCTTTCCTAAGCTCTTGCTCTGAAAACTGCTAACCACTTTAAGATTTCCAAAGCGAATTTGCGATCCCTCCTGCCACCCAATTACCTACATGCAAAGTGCTGTCCTTACACACCATTTGTTGTCTTTTTTCTACACTCTCAACTTTAGCATCTTCTTAAATAGTGGTTTTGCAAGAGGTCATGTTTTTCCATCAGGTTGGGGATGGAGAAGAATCTTCTCTCCCTGGAGAGCTTCCTTGGGAGCAGGGTGTGAATGATGAAACAAGGCTCAGGTGGGAGACAAAGGTGCCTCCGTAGCTGGGCTTGCTTAGGCTCAGGCACCCACACAGGGGCATGCATGTGAGAGCCACAGCGACGAGCCTGGGGGGCTTCCCGTTTGCCCACCCAAGCCCTGATCGGTCCTGGAAAGGAACAGCCCTTTTGAGGGACTGTATTGCACAGAGCTGTGATTTATTTATGGCAGCCCTGAGGCCTTTGTGAGGTCTGGTGGTGTCACTGTGCCTGGGCAGACAAGAGCCTGAGCCTCTGTGTCAGAAACCTCTGGCCTGATAAGGGTCTTCTCCCCTAAGGTGGGGTCCTCCCGGAGGGGTTTTGGCAGGTGAGACAGCACAGCTGGGTAGCACAATGGAGTAATGATAATTATTTAACACTTACTTTGCAGACCCAATACGCTAGGTGCCTCACGCTGACTGGCTTTTTGCTTTAGAAGTCTGGCTGGGAGTCCCGAATTAAATAAATGCATTAACAATAATTCCTTTCAACAAAAAGGGCAAAAATAGGAGGGTTAGCTCAGGATAATGAGACAGGATATTCATCTGTCACAAGTCAACAGCACAGCATGGTTTATCAGTGTGCACTGCAGAGATGCATAGTTCAGGGAGGCCTTGCTGCCAGCTCTCTGGGCTCCCAATAAGACCCACAGCGACCTGTGCTTTTCATATTTGAGTTCAGATTTTTAGAAAAGAGCTTTTTCTTCACATGGATGGCTTGAGATACTTTTATTCAGCATCAAGCTGTGCATCTCGGAAATCCAGATAAATGGCATCTGAGTCTCCTGTAAAATCAAAGACCAAATGTTAATACATACAAACTCACTGACCTATGTCTAATACCTGGCTCTTCCTAACACCCACGTACCTGCTCATCCAGGTAAACTGCCTCCGACCACAGCAGCGACTCGATGGAGGCCTGGATGTTAGGATAACACAGTGCTTAAGAAGACTAGACTCTCTTTTAGAGATAAACAGTGAAGTATTTACAAATGAAATGACATAATATATATAGGATTTGCTTCAAAACAACCCAGCAAGGGAGGGAGGCATTGAAAGTACAGAAAAATCAGGATCAGCCACGAGTTGGTAATCGCTGAATCTGGATGACGGTTCATGTATGTTAACTGTGCTATTCTCTCTACTTCTGTTTGAAAATGGATTTTTTCCTTTTTTATTTAATTTTATTTTTTAATTGAAGTATAGTTGATTTACATGAAAATGTTTTCCTGGGTTTTTTTTTTTTGCTGTATGCGGACCTCTCACTGCTGTGGCCTCTCCCGTTGCGGAGCACAGGCTCTGGACACGCAGGCTCGGCGGCCATGGCTCACGGGCCCAGCCGCTCTGCGGCATGTGGGATCCTCCCAGACCGGGGCACGAACCCGTGTCCCCTGCATCGGCAGGCGGACTCTCAACCACTGCGCCACCAGGGAAGCCCCCCATGAAAATGTTTTCAATGAAAAGTTAAAAATAAGCACTGGCCTCTGGAGTCAGATCACCTGCTGTTTACCAGCTAGGATGCCCTTGACAAGACTCCGTCTGTATCCATTTATTCATATGTCAAATGGGGATAATTAATGAACACCAATACTGTTACAGTTACTATGGCTGTGTGACAGCTTGCCCCCAAATGAAATACAGTGACATCTGTTTTGCCCATGAATCTGCAACTTGGCTGGGACTCGGTGGGGACAGCCCACCTTGGTTCCACGTATTACCCCCTGGGGGTGGCTCAAAGGCAGGCTCTGATGCCTGGCTACTGGCTGAGACCTTATCTCTCGTTCATTGGCTATTGTGGGCCAGAAAACACTCAAGTGGCCCCTCAAATGGCCTGGGCTTTCTCACACAGAGTGGCCGGGTTGCAGGGGAGCCTTCGGAAAGAGGTGAATCCTACTTAAGACCCAGCCTTGGAAGTCACATGGCAGCAACCTGCCACAGTCCATTGGCCAGAGCAGCCACAAGCTTGCCCAGGTTCAAGCAGAAGGGGCACAGACAGGGAATGTCTCGACGGGAGCAGAAGGTTCTGGAAGACACAGGGAATCAGAAATACTGCTCTGACCATTTGGAGACAATACAAACTTCCACCTCGGCTGAGTCTGAGCAGGCAGTGCCCACCTACTGTCCTGACCTCCTTATGTCCCCACCACCCACGCTGTAGCTCATCTTTGTCCCCAGGGGGCTGAGCTGCCTCTTGGAGTGGCACGGAGTGCAAACTGCAGCGGCTTGTCCTCGTGGATCATGAGATCATTTTAGCAGTTTTTGTTTTTGTTTGTTTTGTAAACTAAAGAAAAATGGGAACTATTAGCCTGCCTCACTGACTGACAGTTTCAAAGGCCATGGGCTCCGTGTCACTGGAGCTGGACTAGGTGGTGAGGCCCTTTGTTGGCTGAAGCTGTATGGACAACCTGCCTTTAGGAGGGTGCTTTCCTGCAAACACCAAGTTCATACTCACCTCCCTCCTCTGCGGATTTTTCCACGCCCAGCTGGGAACAAACTGTCTCCCTGACGGTTTTCTTTGGTTTGTTTAGTCTTTGTGCAGACCATGGGCTTGCATTTGGATCTTCTGGCTTCCAGCGCCCGGCTGTGGCACCCTGGTCGGCTGCCTACCCTGTGTTCAGCTTCACCTGGAAAATCAGGATCCCGTCTTCTAAGGATTCCCCGGGAGAATTAATGCACCAAGGGCCTGGCACAAAGCCGCATTCCAGGGCCTCGTGCAGGGTCCAGTGTCTGGAAGTGGGGCTCCATCGAACAGTTTGGTGCTCTCAGCACGCCCAGACCCTGCCTGCCTTCCTTCCGGGGGCCCCCTCTCTGCCCGCCTCCTTCTCCTGACCTCCCTTCCCCCCCCCCACCCCCGCCCCTGCCCCCAGCCTAGCCCTTAGACGCTCTCGCCGCCCCCCACCCCGCCCCCTCGCCCCGTCTCTCCATAGCATTTATCACAATCTGCAATTCTTGGCTTAAGGGCCCTAGGGTGTTAGGCCCGCCCCTCCATACCCCGCAGAGCGCCGGCACGTAGTTGGCGCCCCACAAATTTGCGGGGGTGAACGGACGGAAGTAGGCGCGGCTGCTGAATGAGGGCGCGCGCAGGGGCCGCAGAGGCCGGGCCAGCGTTGGGGGACGCGGCCAGGTCGGGGTGGCTCTGCAGGAGGGGGTAGCCTCTGCGTGGGAGGGGTCCTCAGGGGCAGGGGCCGGCAGGGGGCGCGCGCGGGGCAGGGCGGGGCCGCACCTGTGCTGCGGGGCCAGGGAAGGAGAACGGGGTGGGGGGGTGGGGTAACAGGGCCCCGGAGCAGCTGCGCGCCCCGCCCCGCGGGCTCCTCCCCGCCGCCGCGGCCCCCCGGCTGCTGCCCCAATGCGCTGCGCCGGGAGCCGGGGCCGAGTCGCCGCCGCAGCTGCAGGGGCGCCCGGGCCGGGTGACGACGCCGCCGCGTGCGCCCCTCCCAGGCCCTGCCGGCCGCATGGAGCCCCCGGAGGGCGCCAGCCCGGGAGGTGAGTGCGGCCCCAGCCCCCGGGAGCCCACGAGCTGCGCCTTCCCCGCAGCGGCCCGCAGCCCCTTCCCCCTGGGCCCACACATCGGCCACGCCCCGGGGCCGTGAAGACCCACCGGCAGCTCCGAGTCCCCCTGCGCCGGGCCGAAGCGGGGGGAGCCTAGTGCGCCGCGCCCGGGAAGACGAGCGGGGGCACCGCCCGGAACGGCCCCAGCGCTGGGCGGGGGGCGCACGGACCGCGTCCCCGCCCCCTCGTCCTCCGCGCTCCCGACCCGGGCAGCGGTGTCTGGCGCGCTCCTGAGTGGTTGGCCCAGAGCTTGGTCCTGAGCCCCCTCCCAGCGGAGCCGGGGATCTGGAAGATGGGGCGTGCCAGGGCCAGAGTCGGGATCCAGGTCAGCGAGGCGTGGGGGGGATGCTGCCCTCCTAGCGGCGCGTCTGCTTTGTTCGGCCCAGCCGAGCCTCCCTGGGGGTAGGGCGGGGAGGCCGCGGCCGGGATCCTCGGGGCACCAGGCTGAGATAGGGGCTCAGAGCCGGGGGGGGTGGGGGGGTGGGTGCACCTGGCTCCGCCTGCGGGGGCTCCCACGCCGGCAGGGGTTGCTGGCTGCCGGGGCGAGGCCCAGGAGCTTACACATCTGGGAGGGCTGGTGTGCACGGAGTGACCCTCCTCACGGCCCCTGCCATTTGTCGGGACGGTAGAGATGTACCGGGGGCCTCTCCCCTAGGAGTCTGGCCCTACTCTGGCCCTGGCCTGGTGGGAGGGAAACCTTTCCTAGGACAGGTTCCTAGGAACCTCTCAGGAACCTTTCAGGAGGGGTTTCCTGTGCCATCGGCCTCGGAACTTGGATGCAAACTGCCGGTCTCCTCCACGCACCCGGCCAGGCCCCAGATGCACCCGGGGTTCCCTGGAGGTCCCATACCAGGGAGCCACTCCCTGGCCACACAGGGGTCCGCTGGGGGTCCCCTATCCACACCAGTGGCCTGCTCCAGAGACCAAAATGGGTCCACCTACTGCTCTGTCTGCAGGCTGAGTTGGGTAGGTGCATTCCAGACGGCTGTCTAGGGGCCCATGTCACGCTCCCTCCGAGCACCACCAGAGACACTCAGGGGCTAGTGGGTGTGGGTTTTCTTTGTTTTGTTGTTTGTGGGAGGGATTCAGCTTTTTCTTCCCATTGGCAGTACGAGGACCCCGGGGCTTCCGGGTAGCGCCTTTGCGAGGATTTCATGGGGCAGGTTTGGAGAGCAAGGGCTGGGGATGCCGGCAAAGCAGCCAGGCCCCTCTGAGCTCCGCGTCCCCTTCTCTCAGTGGAGGCCCCGCCTTGCCTGCAGAGAGAGGGAGCAGAGGGCAGGCCTGAGGGAGGGGAGCTTAACGACCCTTCAGTTTCTGAACGTCACTTACTGGAGCCCCAGAGACCTAACTCATTCAGTGCTCCAGGAACCTCCTCTGCGCAGGCACCGTGGCGGGGCTGGGCCACAGCAGCGGGAGGTGGGCTTCACACGCTTCTTACCCCGTAGCCACGTCCTGCCCACATGGGGGCGTCACGCGTGGGTAGCTGTGACTGTCATTTTCTGAGTTCGCTGACTTTTGGGAACTTACTCTGGAGAGAGGGGCACACACACAAGTAGAGACAACAGTATGGTAAAGTCCCCCCCCCCGCCCCTCACCGCCTGCACCCACCTTCCTTCAGTAGTAATTTGTAGCTAATCTAGACATATTGTTTCATCCTTAAGTATCTCTGAAATTACCTCTAAAAGATAAGGTTTTTATAATTAAAACAGCATTTTTGCACCTAAACGAATTAACAGTAATTTCTTAATATCAAAGCGCACAGACATGGAGGGGAGAGGACGGGGTGCACTTCTCGAAGGTGCCTTTGGGAGACCAAGTCTCTAGCCCACCTACCTCCAAGTCTGTCCGACTGGGAGAGAGAGGCCTGGGCCCTGCCCTGCGGGGGCTGAGCCTAGATGGGGCCCACCCGGCATCCTCAAAATGCTCCAAGGAGGAGCACTGACTCCAGGGACAGGGGCTGGGGAAACGGGGGACGATGGCCATCCCTCCCTCCCTGCAGCCATGCTGGTTTTTATGCTATTCATTCATTCACTTCATTATTTCACTCATTCGCGTTGGGTGTGTGCAGAGCACCTCCTCCATGCTTGGGGCAAAACCCTGGGCACACAGCAGGGAACTTGAGATTTGGGCCAAGTTCTTGGCACGAATGTGCTGGAAAATAGGTCAGCAGCGTAGCACAGGGTTAACACTATCATATGCGTTCATACCAGGCCTTGGGCCCCCAGTTCCAGTCTCCCCACGCGGGTGCTGCTTCCGCAGGGCAGGGCAGCAGGCCCCCTGCAGGGGCCAGGGGCTTCACTCCCTCACTGGGGGCTCTGCCAGGCTGCTAGCCCACTGCTGACCCTGGGGCGTCAGAAACACCGCTCACCTCTGCCCTGGCCTGGGCAACCCTGGGGTCTGCTGAACCCACCCAGCCTACGGCTTGGCCCGGCTGCCAAGGACCCCTGCCCTTGTGCCTGCCTGTGTGATCGGTCACTCCTCTGCTTCACACCCCAGGAAGAGCAGGGGGTCTCACTCGTGAAGAACTTCTCCCTTCTTCCTACAAGGGCTTATCGAGAGGGTATCAGACAGACCCAGGTGATTCCTAGCACAGCCGCTTAGTGATCTGGGGTGGGGTCTCGGGCTCGTTCATCCAACCAGCATTTGTGGTGCACCTACTGTGCACAAGGACCAAGCAAAGGTCCTGCTCCCTTCACATCCTTCCAGCCAGAAGATCAGTGTCCTTGATGCCGAAAGTTGCATCTTCTGCTTTTTCTTCCTCTCCCACACAGCTTTGACACAGGCCAGGACACCAGGATTTACAAAATAAAGACCAGACCACTGCCAAAGGGAGACGAAAAGAATAAGAAAGTAGACATAAGGTGACTTTAAAAGTTCACCGTTACCATTTTCCATTGGCTCTGTGACACCATCGACTAGATGGTTTGCTGTTTCAGGGATGCTGAAATTTGATAAAATGTGCTTCTTACAATGAGTACAAAAGGCCACTGTGCCTGTAGGGGCTGGAGGTCTGTCCTGGGCTGTCTGGGACCCCTGGATCCTAGGATCTATAATGAGGCATATCTGCATACCCAGCCCCCTGACCCAAGGCCGGATGGGGAAGGAGGTCCTGCTTCCTTGCCCTGCCCCCACCTCATCACCTGTGGACTGCCTCCTTCCCACCTGGACTGCATCCCATCCCACAAACATGCAGGCAGAGGCTGTCCCACTCAGCTCGGAACCCTCCCAGCTCAGAGAGCAGCCAGAGGTGTCTCCCCACCGGTGTCCCCCTGCCCTCACCCACCCCGGCCACGCCTCAGAGGCAGCCACGCACCCCTCAGGGCCTTTGATGGTGCTGTCTCCCCAGCTATCACCCAGCTCCCACCCTCCTTCAGACCTGTCCCCAAAGCGGGACCACAGCCCCCAGGGCTCCCCAGCCCTGCCCCACCAGAAGAGGGCAGGAATCCCCTATTTTGTCCATCCGAGTCCGGCTCAGGAATCTGCCGGATGCACAGGTGAATAGCGCTTTCTTTTCTAGATAAGGTGAGAGCGGGCCATTATGAGCAGAGACTCCCGCCTCTGCCCCACCTTTTATGCTAAGTCCCCTTCCACCCAGTCAGGGCCTAGCTTCCCTGTGGGCGCAAGGTCAGGGTCTCCCCTCCCTCTGCTGGCCGGCAGGTGGTGGCCGAGAGCTCCCGCTCGACAAGCTGAACCCCTCGGTGTTACTGGCCAAGACTCACTGTCCCTTCCTCGTGGCTGGTTGTGACACCAGCTGGAAAACATATTGCTGGCACTCTGCCTGGCACAGAAAACCATGAGCCACTGTCATTCTTGTTATTAACCCAGAGCCACCTGCCCCACTGGGAGGCTCCAGAGAAATGGCAGCACCTAGCTGCGGCCCCCAGCCAGCCAGGCACCCACCACGATGGGGCACGTGTGGAAGCAGAGCAGGACACTCCAGGCACGCGTGCGCCCTTGGGGAGGGGGACCCGGGCCGCTGTGCCGCCCCGCCTTGAGGAAGCAGAACACTCCTGCAGAGAGCAAAGGTCCCCAAGGGCTTCCTGGGCCTTCGACCCTCAGCAGGGGTTCTGATGTTCGGGAGAGGTTCCCCGCCCACCCCCAGCTCCGGTGCCCTCTGGTCGGGAAGGTGTCCTTGCTGGGCTGGGCGGGCCGGGACACCAGGGGGTGTAACCCTACCCTCCAAGGATGCTCAGACACCACGTTCCAAATGCGGCAGCAAGGTGGAAACCAGATCCCCAGCCCCAGTCCAGCGGGCCAGCCCTGGGCCCTGAGTGATGACACAGCACAGGGCAGAGCCAGGCTGGCCCCGCCAGTTGGCAGGCCCACCTCCCCTCAGCCACGCCTCCCAGGGAGCGGTTCCCTCCTAGAAGCCAGGGGCGACCCAGCCAGCTCTGCAGCTGCAAATCCCACCCAGCCAGGGACCCTCCAGACCCACGCGGCCCGCCAGGCTGCTGGCCACACAGGCCCAGCCCTCACTGGCAGCTGTTGGCACTGGGCCCCCCTGCTGGGCCCCCCGTTGGCAGCTGCTCCTGTGGCTTCGGCGCTGGACCCCTGGGATGGGCGGCCACACTGATGAGGGAGCGGGAGGGCATTCCTCACTCTTTACTGAGCACCGGTTCAGCTGGGGGTCAGCTGGGGGCAGGTGGGGTCTCTGTCGCGGGGGGGGGGCTCAGGAGAGAGCAGCAGTGGGGACGCCAGGGAGCCAGGGGTCCCGTTGCCTCAGGGCATGTGCCGGCCAGATGACTGGGACCCCTGGCTGTGTGGGGCAGAGGGCCCTGGAACACTCGGGAGGAGCTGGTAGGAGGTGTGGATGGAGCAGTCTGCCCTGGTGACAGCAAGCACTCCGTGGGGTGGAGGGCCCGCCCCTGGGTGGCACAGTCTCCACCAAGCAGATCCCCAAGGGGCCTCGCCTCTCACCCGACAAAAAGTTACATGAGATGAGCCATTACATAAAAACAAGAATTGCATAGGAAACACCCTGGAGTAACATTCCCAGTCCGGAGGTGTGGTCGGTGGGGAGGGGTTGCTGTGGCCACTGTCCTCGTTTCATCTGAGAACGTGTTATGTGGATTCAAACACAACACGGGACAGACACGTGAGCCGGGGCCATTCTGGATTAAAGGGCGCCAAAGGGCAAGCAAATGCAGAACCGCCCACCCGCCCGTAGGTTGGACCAGAAAGTGGAGACAGGTGACAGTATTGGTGTCTTGGGGTCTCCGACAGGACCAGCAAGTGTCCCCGCGAGACCCGTGGTCATTCCTGCTCAAGTAATCAGGGCAAAGGGTCTGGAAATCAGGGTTACAGGGAAGGGCAGCATCCTCAGAGAAGCCCTCTGCCCCTTGTCTGGCTTCCTCACCCAAGGTCACCCCTGGCCACTGCGATCACTGCCCACAGCCTCAAGGGAGGGCTCGATGGGCCAGGTTCTCAAGTCCTCCCAGCCTGCGTCCTGGGGGTGGCGGTGGGAGACCGCAGTCCCCTCCCGGGTAACGCTCTCTCTGTTGCAGGGGTAGTTAAGGAGGTCGAGGTGCCAAGGGCTGCCCTGGGCACCCCCGTTCCTGGGACGGGGACCAGCAACCACTCACCTGTGGCCGAGGAGGAGGTGGGCGTCCCAGTACCGGCACCGGGTCTCTTGCAGGTCACGGAGAGGCGGCGTAAGTACAGCCCACCTGTCCCAGCGTGCTCCCTGGGACCAGGGGCGGGTCCCTGGGCCTCGGGTGCGCCCCAGGGAGCAGGTGCCGGGGATGGGCCAGCCCCACCTCGTTCCCACCGCACTGGCCTCCACCTGGCCCCGCTGACACACCCCTCTGCCCCCAGAGCCCCTGAGCAGCGTCTCGTCCCTGGAGGTGCACTTCGACCTCCTGGACCTCACCGAGCTGACTGACGTGTCCGACCAGGAGCTGGCCGAGGTCTTCGCCGACTCGGATGACGAGAACCTGGCCAGCGACTCGCCCGCAGGTGGGGCTGCTGCCGGGGCCTGGAGGGGGTTGCGGGAGGTCCTGGGGCCTCAGGCCACCCAGCACCGCTCCCTGGAGACCCATTGTGGAAAATGATTTCCTTTCTGATGCGTGTTTCAGTGTTTGTCGACACGGCACCATTTCACTCACCATTTCTGCACTTCACACACCTATCTGCCAGCTCTCAGGGATTTCTCTACCCCTCCTTAATTTCACTTTTCAAATGCCAACGTAAGGCCACAGCCACAGTCCCACTGAAAGCAGAATTCACTACTTGGGTTTAATCCCAAGTAGGCAGAGCACGAAGGGGGTGGTGTTCACCAGTCCTAGCCCCTCCTCAGCTCAGTTCCCGGGAAGCGGCTGGAGCCCGCAGGCCGCAGAAACGGCACGGGAGCTGCCAGGGGTATGGGGGCCCAGGGACCCTCCCCCCCCACCCCGGCTCACTGCCCATGCAGGCGGGGTGGGGGTGGGGGGGGAGTGGCACCTGCTCCGGGCCAGGCTCACCCCCAAGGGCAGGCGCCTCAGCCGCACGGGGACCCGCCTGGGGACAACAGGAAAGCCCCTGGCCGGGCCGCACCCAGACCCACGTGTACACATTGCCGGTACCCAGGGGACCCCAACGTGTGGTCCGACGCCGTGCTGGAGGCACACACGGGCCCAGCCCAGTAGCTGAAGGAGTGACCTGGGACCCCAAGCCACACTGACCCCAGCCTGTGTTCCCACCAGGCCTACACCCGCTGCCCAGGGCCGGCTGTCTGCGCTCCCCCTCCTGGACACGCACCAGGGCCGAGCAGAACCGTGAGAAGCAGCCCTTTGGTGACCCCGAGCGGCAGCCTGCCGTTGTGGACACGTTTCTCACCGTGGAGAGGCCCAAGGAGGACTAGGCCGGCTGGCCCGGGGCCGAGGCGGGGCAGGTCTGGCGGCCGTGGCCCCGTGGACGCTGCCCGCCCCACGTGGCGCCTCTGCATAAGCACAGCCCAGTGGCCTTACGTCCAGCGCTTCCTGGTCGCTGGATCAGGGACCAGGCCCAGGGATGAGACGAGACTTCTGTCTGTAGGAATGGTATTCTTGTCTGTCACCAGACTCCCGGCTAGGGCTGCGGTGAGCAGGGATCTGCCCGTGAGAGGCGCTCTGCAACCCCCCGGGGGTCTCGGGGCTCCAGTCTTGAACGGCAGTGCCAAGCTCCAGCCCGCGGGACACCCTGCTGCCCTAACCGCCTTGATTCCAACCCTGCGCCCCCCCTGCCGCCCAGGAAGTGTCAGCACCAGCGCCCCCAGACCCTAACACCCTGCTTGTCGTGAGCCCTGCCTGAGAGCCAGACCCACCTCCTGAGCTCGGAACACCAAATATGTCACGACTGCCTCAGACCGCCGGGCAGGGCAGGGGCAGGCGAGGTTCGCCCTCCCCCGGTCCTTGCAATGACAGTCCCCGCGGCCCACCAGACACACGCACGCACATGCGTGCAGCAGCCCGAGGGGCGTGGGGACGTGAAGGGACCTGGGCACAGCGCCTGGCCCCCAATTCCGGGGTGCCAGACTCGGCTGCTCCGGACGCTGCTTACATACTAAGGGACGGAACCGGCTTCCAGTCAGACAGCGAGTCCAAGAACAGTTTTAAAATAAACGTGTAAGCTTGCTTTTAGTCCCCAAGGCCACCTGCCCTGACCCCTTCTCCACTGAAACATTTCTGGGGAAGGAAAACAGGCCTGGGCACATGCTGGGCCCACGAGGCGTGGCTACAGCACGTCCCGCCAGGAAAAGGGGCGCCCTATGCGCCAGGAGGGGCACGTGAGGGGCAGCAACAGGGAGGTGTCTTCCAGACACAACCAAGAATTTCACTTAAAAGGGATCCCGTGAGGGCAGCCGTGCCCCCCCGCCCCCCAGTCTTCCCCCGGGCCGAGTTCCCATCCTTCGCGCTATGGCTTCTGCAGATCTCATTTCCAAACAGCAGGATTAAAACGGCACCCTGTCCTAAGTCTCGCCGACCAGTCTCTTCCTTTCCAGCTGACGTAGGAGCTCAGGCGTGCGGGCCGGGGGTGGTTGCTCCAGGGGCCTCCAGGAGCTCCACGCTCTGGCCCTCCCCCAGCTAAAGCCACTGGGGGTTCCACTGTGACATGCCCTGGGCTCTTATTTGGGTCATATCTCAGGGCCAAGCGCCCTGGCTCTCGAGGCATTAAAGAAGCAAAGACCCTGCCTCCACAAGCCCAGGCTGGAAGAGGCAGAGGTACTCCCGAGAGGCTCTTCCCAGCCTGGGGCAGGTTCCTGGGGAGGCAGCCGCCAGGCAGGGTCCGCCTGTGAGCAGAAGACCAAGGATGAAGCCTAAACCCTGACCGTTTTAACCACCATGAGACGCAGGCCGCGTGCCCCGTGCCGGGCGGTTCCTCCTGCGGGGCTGAGCCTCCCTAACCCGAGATCCTTGGCCAGGCATCGGCCCAGGTGGGGCGATGGCCCAGACAGGGTGCGAGGTGAAGGGGGGGCTGAGGAGACTGGAGGGGGTGCAGGCACGGGGCACGCAGGCAGGGGCGCTGTCCCCAGGGGCGTGCCCTGGACCGGGGGAGGGGCTGCACCCAGTCTCCCAAGGAACAGACCCCCAGGCTCAGGACAACGTGAGTCCTTCCTGGGGTCAAGGAGAGCACCCCACCTCCACCAGAAGAAGCCCCAGGACAGGCCCCTGCAGGACACAAAGCAGCTCAACACACGGAGGCTGAGTGTTCAAGGCTGCGTCACAGGGCGAACCCCGGAGATCTCAGAAATTCAGCAATACACATTTCACAAGCAACGAAGTTGAAAGTGTTTGTCCCAAGCTGGAAACTCTATTTTTGAGGCAAACATAGCAAACGATTTGGCAAATTTCATCCCTGAGGCCCAGCGTGTGGCCATGGCCGGGACAGCAGCGGCGGGCACGTGGGGCGGTGCCCCTGCTCTCGCAGTCAGCCCACATCACCCACCGCAAGGCAGCAGCTGCTGCTACTGTCACAATTCTGACGACTCTGACGCGCTGGCCGTGTTCTGGGGACCCGCGGGGCCATTTCCACTAACCCCGACTCCCCGGGGCTGGGCCCTGGTCTCGCTCCAGGACCAACCGGGGAATGGAAGGCTCAGCCCTAGAGCTTAGCTACGGCCCCCGGTGGCTGTCCTACCACGTGGAGCAACCCAGAGCCCCCTCTCCTGGACCCTAACAACACGGGCCACGAGGAACACAGCTTCCCGGAGACGTAGGGTTGGCAAGGCCCCGACCCTGAGAACAGGGGTGGCTCCGCTGGGGCAGCCCTCAGGCTCAGCCCCCACAGACACCCGCGTGTGGAAGTGGCGAGGCCCCTCCGTAAGGACTGACTGGTCTTCCAGCACCCTGACAGCTGCGTGCTGGGCGCCTGGCTAGTGTCCTCCTTTCCTCAATTCCGAACCTCACCAGACCTGGAGGATTTCTGAACTGGGCCAAAAGCCCCCGCCCCGTCTCTCCCCAGGGCAGGTGAGGTGACCAGCACCGATGTCCCCGCGCTGGGCAGCTCTCCCCGGCAGATGAGCCCACCACCCACCTCGGGGGAGGCCCAGGGGGGTCCTACACACAGGCCCCCAGGGGGCAGGTGCGTTTCGGCCACTGCCCTCCCCTCTGACTCGGGAACAGGGTCCCAGCCCCCGCCTCGGTGGAAGGGCACGTTCTGGGAGCTGGAATCCCCGTGGGCTCAGAGGACCCTGACCTGAAAACACCCATTTGTGATTATCACGCGTTTTAATTTGCTCTCTGGAGATTCCGGAGGCTGCTCTCCAGGCAGGGGCGCTAGGCTGGGCTCTCCTGCAGGGGGCACTCCGTGCCGCCCTCCTCCGGCCCCCAGCACCAGCCCTTCAGCCCCTGGGGAAGGGACGTGTCCTCCAGGCCACCGGTGCCCTCCACGAGCTCCTCGTAGGCGGTCTTCTCCGCCAAGGGTCGGGGCCCAAGCAGCTCCACCATGGCGGCACGCTCCAGCACCTCCTTCCCCAGCAGCCGCCTGCCCACCTGCACACCGGGCCATGTCAGGCCATCCGCTCGGCGCCCCGCAGAGCCCCCGCCCCGACCCTGGGGACGGGCCGGCCCCACTCGCCTCGTCCACCCGCTCCCGGGAGCGCGTCAACAGGTCCAGGGTGTGCGTGTGCGCAGAGCTGACCAGCCGCCGAGCCTCCTGGTCGATGAGCTGGGCCGTGGCCTCGCTGTACGGCTTCTCCACCAGTGCCTTGCCAGGCAAGGGGAGGTCGAAGGACACCTGGCCCAGCTTCTCGCTCATCTCGAACTGCACAATCTGGGGCAGGCGAGGGGCGGGCGTGAGCCTGGCAGACGGTGCCCTGAGCCCCCTTCCCAGCCCCCGCGGACACTGCCTTACCTGGGCGTAGGCACTCTGGGTGACCTTCCTCAGGTCGTCCTGGGCCCCCGTGGTGATCTGCCCGAAGAACAGCTGCTCGGCCACCCGGCCACCCAGCATGGCGCACATGCGGTCGAAGAGCTGCTCCCGCGTGTACAGGTACTGCTCCCTGGGCAGGCACTGGGCATACCCGAGCCCCTTGCCCCGGGGGATGATGGACACCTGCCAGATACGGCAGGCGTGCCCTGTCACCCCCAGGGTCCCCGGGTATCCCGGAGGAGGAGAGGAAACCCTGGGCCCCAGCGCTGACAGGTCGCCCCAAGGATGAACACAGAAACCCCCTCTGTCCCGCCGTCCCAGGAAGCTGTGGAGGAGCCGTGCCGTCAGGGGAAAGTTTAGAGTGAGGTGAGTTTAACGTGGAACCTCCAGGTGTCAGGTGGCCAGCATCCAGACCCCTCCTGGAACCAGCACCCCCCCTCTCTGCCCACCCACCCCTCAGGGAATCGTGTAACAAATTCTAGACGATTACATCCTCAAAGAGTGAAGAGGGCCGCCACCTGGAATGCACCGTGCCCACACAGCACCCCCGGGAGGGGAGTGGGCCCTGAACCACACCGCAGATGCGCAGGGGGATGGGCCAACCTTGAGCAGGGGGTCTGTGTGCTCCAGGAACCAGCCCACCACCGCGTGGCCAGCCTCACGGTAGGCCACCGTCATCTTCTCGCTGGGCTGTAGGACCTGCGTCTTCTTCTCGAGACCTGCAAGTCAAGTTCACGGCAAGAGGCAGAGGACAAACGGACAGCTGAGAGGTGGGTGCCAAGGCCCCATTCTGCACCGCGGGTGTGTTGGGGGCTGCTCAGGGCCTCCGTCTGCCCAGGACAGGCCCGCAGCCTGCCCGCTCCACGCACACCGCTCAGGCCTGCTGGGTACCTGTCCCTCCACACCAGACGCTACACTGCCTTCTGCCCCACCGTGCAAGCGGCAGGTGCCTTTGGGGGCCCGTTTGTAGCCAAGGGGGTTAGCTACTCTCCGTGGCCTGACTGGCAGTGAAGCCGGACGCAGGGAGACCAGGAGCGCTCTCTATGCCGCCTACACCCAGTTGCAGGCAGGGAACAGGGCACAGAGAAGGCACCACGACTCGCGTGAGCTCAGCTTCAGGGCTGGTCAGCTCAGCGGCGCCGCCAGGACAGCGTCGAGCAGCTGTGGCGACTGCCTTGGGTCACTGACACTTGTCTGTGCACACCACACTTCAATAAAACATGAAGCAAAGACAAAGCAGCCCTGCCAACCTGCTGTCTGGAGACGGGCTGGTTCTCACAGCTGTGGGGTGGGATCATGAAGGACAGCTGCTGGCCACACGGACACCTCCCGGACCTCCGTTCCCGGGAGGGCACTCGGGAGACCTCTACCCCACGCTGAAGCTTCCCAAGGAAGCACGCAAAAAACCTGCCTCTCGGCCACGGGCAGCACCCGAACCTGGGTCTGACGCAGCGCCCTGGAGGTTACATCTCTTTGAAATTCTAAATGTTGCTCTAGTAAGAGCACGAAAGCTGCTGGCAGATCCCAAGTCCCAGATTTTGGTCTGGAAAACTGTCCACGACTGCAGCTCACTGAAGTGAAGCTGGGCCCCAGGGTGGGCCCGCTGTGGGTCAAAGCTGGAAACCGCCCCCCAGCACTGCCCGGCTCGCCTCCGACGACCCTCTCAACCGCCTGCTCCAAGCGCTTCTCCTGGACAAAAGGACTCAGGTGGCGGGTGGCGATCAGGGCCGCTTCCTTGCAAACATTAGAAATATCAGCACCTGACCCGGAAAAGGAGAAACAGTCCCATCAGTGCCCCAGGGCGGACTGTTGGAGGAAAATCTCCAGCAGAGGGACCAGAGCTAAACTAGGTCAAGGACGGGAAGGAGAACGAGACCTGCTCTGTCAGTCACCGTTGCTTTCAGCCAGTATTTCGGTTGAACAATTTACTGAGGTATGAGTTATTTAACATAAAATCTATCCGTTTTAAGTGTACATTTCAAACACTTTTGGTAAGTTTATCAAGATGTGCAACCATTGCGCTGATCTCATTTCAGACGTTTCCATCACCGATGTGACGTATGTGGCTAATTCCTGTACACATGCCCAGCCAACCACTAACCTACTTTCTATCTCTATGGATTTGCTTCTTCTGGACGTTTCACATAAATGGAATCACATGATAGGTGGTCTTTTGTGTGCTTCTTTCACTCGACACAGTGTTTTCACGTTCATCTGCTATCGTAGCGTGTATTGGTTATTTCATCCCTTTTCACAGCTGAATGAGGTTCCATCACATGCACAGCCGCCCCGAGGCCTCCACAGGAGATAGCAAACTCCACGGACGCTCAAGTCCCTGATATAACATGGCCAGTACAGCTGGCCCTCTGTACCCACTCTACACACACCTATCCGGTCACGCACCGCTGGACACGGGTGGCCTCTACCTCTCGGCTATTATGAATTATGCTGCTGTGAACATCTGTGTAAAGCCTTTGTGTGAACAAATGTTTTCAATTCTCTTAGATACCGAGGAGTGGAACTGGGGTCATACGGTAACTGTCCTTCACTTCTGGAAGAACTGCCAGGTGGATCCCCGTGGCCACACTATCTGACATCCCCACCAGCACCGTGTGAGCACGGCCGCCTCCCTACAGCCCTGGCGACTCATGCATCTGCCTCTTACGGCCATCCTGGTGGGCGTGAGGCGGCACCACACTGTGGTTTTGATGTGCATTTTCCTACCATCACTGAGCACCTGCTCATATGCTTTCTGGCCACCTGCAGACCTTCTTTGGAAAAATGTTCAAATCCTTTTCCCATGTTTAAATCGGGTTCTTTAAATATTTTGGATTATAAACCCCTACGAGATGCATAATCTGCAAATAGTTTCTTCCATTCTGTGGGCTGTCTTCTCACCACCTCAATAATGTCCCTTGACACACAAAAGATTTTAATTTTGAAAAAGTCTAATTTGTTTTCTCACTTGTTGCTTGTGCTTTAAGAAACCATTGCCAAATCCAAGGTCACGAAGATTTTCTTTTAAGACCTTTATAGTTCTAGCTCCACAGTTTAGGTCTCTTATCCATTTTGACTTGACCGCTGCATGTGGTCTAAGCTCTAGTTTCGTCCTTTTGCTTGTGGACACCGTCGTCCCAGCGCATTTGATTGAACAAACTGTTCTTTCCCCATCAAATGGTCTTCACACCCTTGACAAAAACAACTGACCAAGGACTTCCCTGGTGGCACAGTGGTTGAGAGTCCGCCTGCCGATGCAGGGGACACGAGTTCGTGCCCCAGTCTGGGAAGATCCCACATGCCGCGGAGCGGCTGGGCCCGTGAGCCATGGACGCTGAGCCTGCGCGTCCAGAGCCTGTGCTCCGCAACGGGAGAGGCCACAACAGTGAGAGGCCGGCGTATCGCAAAAGAAAAAAAAAAAAAGTAGTAGCCCCCGCTCGCCACAACTAGAGAAAGCCCGCACGCAATGAAGACCCAACGCAGCCAAAAATAAATGAATAAAATAAATTTAAAAAAACAACAACTGACCGAGATGCACAAGCGCACATCTAGGCTCCCAGTTCTACTCTACTGGTCGACGCCCACCCTTGCGCCAGCAGCCCCCTTCTGTTTGCTGGAGCTTTGTAGTAAGTTCTGCATTAGGGAAGTGTGTCTTCCTTCTCTGCTCTGCACAGACTGTGCTGGCTCTTCAGTCCCCTGGAAGCTCCACGGGGAGGTTAGAATGAGTTTTTCCCTTTCCAGCTTTAACAACGTACAAAGGTTCTGTTCCTACACAGCCCCTCCCACCTCCACAGGTTACTTTTTTTTTTTACGTCGTGTGCCCATTAACACAGACATGTCTTTATGGGTTTAAGCACCTGCCCTTTAAATCATAAAGGGAACACAGAGGAGCTGCAAACCAAAAACACACAGGATGCTGGCCTTTAGGTTTACCTATGCAGTTGCCTCTCCCAGGGCTATTTCCCCACACAGCTTCGAGTCACTGGCCAGCGCCCTTTCATTTCAGCCCAAAGGACTCCAGCATTTCCTGGAGGGCAGGTTTAAATATAGTAAGTTCCCTCAACTTTAAAAAACAATCTAGGAATGCCTTTATTTCTCCTTCCCTATTGAAGAACCGTCTTGCCAGATCCACGGCCTTCTGGCCTCATGGTCTCCAAGAAGAATCGGCTGTTAACCTTACTGAAGACCCGTCCCCACTAGGTGTCCCTTCTGTCTGGTTGGCTTCAACAGTCTCTCGTTATCTCTGACCAACATGAATTACACTGTATCTCAGTGTGGACGTCTCTGGGTTTATCCCTACTTGGAGTTTATTCAATTTCTTGGACGTGGAGACTCAGGTCTGTCATCCAATTTGGGAAGTGCTGAACCATGACCCCTTCAATGGGCAGCATGCCAAGGGGACAAGACGTCACTGCACTATGTTCCCGGGGTGGCAGGAGTTCAAACAGGCACAAGCCAGCCTTGGGGTTAATCATCTCTGAGGCCTCCGATATGTCCGTCAGACTCAAAAGCTCTAAGGACAAGGGTAGCACATGCCAGGACCAAGTGGCACAACCAGATACCACCCACCGACATGTCCAGACCCGCACGGCCCACCTGGCCACACTCACCAGTGAAGCCTGGAGTGAGGGCCGCAAGCTTCCTCGCCAGGGCGTCCTCACTGAGGCTCTCGTCCAACTTGAGTGGACGCAGGTGGACCCTGAAGATGGACGACCTGCCTTTGATGTCAGGGGGGCCTAACAGAGAGAGAGGCACTCAGGGCCAGGGCGGGGCCACCTGCAGCCACTTCACTGCAAGGGCCCTCCCCTGCGTGTCCGTGCTGCACACTTCGCTGTCCGACCCGGGCCAGGGAGCTCCCCGCGGCAGAAACGACCCACAGGTCACGTACGTTCAGCTCTTCAACACATCAAAGAACTTCCTGACCGTGGAGCCTCTGGCCCACGCAAATCCATCCCAGGACAGGGACCCAACCACAAGCAAAACTCTGGCTGCCCTGGCAGCCGGGTGTCCACGCAGGACTCAAGTCCTAAACTCCCAGGATCTCCTCACCAGTGGAAAGGGCCAGGGTGAATGCTTCTCTCGCCAACGGCGCACAGAAAGTAAAAGCCGAAGGATCCAAGTCTGTCACCTCGCTCCCACCTGCATGGACTGCAGCGACCTTCCCCCAGCCCCAAGTACACCTGTTCTTCCCAAAGTGGGGGGCACCCACGCACCTCCACCGTTTTCACAACACTGTATTAACGGCTTTAGGACCCCGATCAAAATCTTCTCCAAATACACAGCTAAAGATCTAACCCAACTTTTAACCCAAAGGAAGGAAAAGCCAAGCCTCAGCACCCAGGCAACCAGCACACTCACCAATGCAAATCTGACGGTCAAACCGGCCGGGCCGCGTCAGGGCCAGGTCAAGGATGTCGGGGCGGTGGGTGCCCGCCAGCACCATGACGCTCGTGGTAGAGCTGAACCCTGGACATGAGAAGCAGGTGAGCCCAAGGAGGGGGCCCAGGCAGCAGGAGACTCTCCTCTTCCCAGGGCTCCTCCCCTGCGCAGCTGGCCCCGTCTTCCCAGGACCCCTGCCACCCACCCCGGAAGCCCCACGCTGGGCCTGCTTCTCCTGCGGGCCCGCAGCCCACTGCACAGGCCGCTCAGTGTGGGGCGGACACTCATGCCCAGGGCTAGCTCTGACCTGTCTCAGGAGGCAACCAGTGGCTCTGGTCCCCGCGGCCCCCAATGCTGACTGAGGCGCACGTGCACTGGTGGGTAACCAGACGTTCCTCAGGCCACGGACGCCCATCCTAATTCATTACTGGTCTATTACGGCCAGCCTCTGACACCATGCGGCGAGCTGCAGGGGCCAGGCAGAGCCTCCACCATCGGGGCCCTGGGCCGCTGCGGAGACCTCCCTCCACCCAGGCCCCGGACGGCTTGCTGGGCTCAGGGAGCCTGACTGGAAGGCAGGCGGGGCGGCGGGGGCCTGAGCTCACCCAGCACTCATCTGCAGAAAGGCCTGCTCACGGGGGCCCTCGGCCACCTCTGGGACCTGGGATTCAGGACCGCTCCCTGATAAGAGGGGCTCCCTGTGCCTCAACTGTGCGTGCAGACGTGTGGTTTCTGCGAAGCACCGGCCTTCCTCCTGGGAGGCTGGGATCGTAGCACGTACTGGGCAGAGGCTGCCACGTGACCAGCCCCCAGGGGAAACCCCACTCCCGAGTGTCACCCAGCCCGCTGCCACGGAAGTAGCTGCATCCTGTGACTCCAGGGCTCCAGAGGCTGTGACCAGCTTCCCTGGCCACCAGGCACCTGCTCCCCACTCAACCGTGGTCCTGAATCCAACTAAACATGGAGTCCTCCCGGCGAATCACCAAACCCTGGGTCATGTCGGGGACCCCAACACAGCCCCAAAGCCAAAGCGACGACAAGACCTGCCAAAGGTCCGACAAAAGCTTCTCCAAATCTGGAAACTAGTAAGAACGCCTAGACACTTCCCGCGAAGCTTCGGCAGGGCTGCCGGGCTGTCACGCGGAGCTGGGACCTCCCCGAGCAGTGGTCCCCAGGGGGGAGAGCGGAGAGGGGTTCTGGGCCAGGAGGCGGCCCGGGTCAGAGGCCAACGTGGAAGGAGCCTGGGTGTCGGTCCCGTCCTGCGCTGAGCTCTGAGGGCAGCTCCCTCCACTGTGTGTGCCGAAAACAGCCTTCCTCAAAACACAGCAAGCAGGGGTTCTCGCCCGGGAAGGTCCCGCACAGAGGAAGGCCTGGGGGACGGTCGTGCAGCCGCTCACCGTCTAGCTCCACGAGCAGCTGGTTCAGGGGTTCTCCTGCTCGCTCTGGCCCCCAAAGTGCCCACGGCCTCAATTCCTGCCCATCGCGTCAATCTCCTCAACGAACAAGACACAGGGAGCATTTATTCAGGCCATTGCATACACGTCACGGACGTGAAACAGGAGTCCGTGGGTGGCAGGGTCTGCTTTGCCACTGGTACCAACACAGGACTAAAGAGCTCACCAAGCTAAGCCCTCGCCTCTGGCACTCGATTCTCATCTCAGCTGCTCTGCCTGCCCGCCCGGGTCCCCCTGCACATCTGTGCTCTGCGCCTGTTGCCAGGGTCCCACACGAAGCCCAGGGCAAGGACAAGGGCGCATCCGCCTACCCGAGCTGGACCGACGCCGACAAACATTTCCAGGAACTCGGACCCGTTCACGGTGATGAAGGGCACACTGGCCTCCCCTGCAGTCGCCTTGGCGAGAAGCGTTTTGCCGGTACCAGGAGGACCAGTGAGCATGGCTCCCTGAAACAGAAAGGCAATGCCTGGTTCTGAAAGGGTACAGACGGAGCCGAGGAGACAGTCACATTCTACTGAACAGGCGTTTTCTAGGCCTGCTCCACGCGGGTCGGCTAAGGTTTGCTTTCGGTGTGATACTTCCTGCTTGTAAAGTGAACGCACGTTCACCATGAAATGTTCAAACGCTGCAGACATGGGAAAGCCCCCCACACCCCCAGTCCAGCCGAGCAGGTTATCTCTTCAGGCAACGCTCCCAGGGCAGGGCTCGTTGGATCTCGCGGTCTGATGTTTAACGGTCTTTGCCAAACTGCCCTACGAAACACACCAACTCACACCAGGACGAACAAGAGCCCACGCCCCAGACCTGGTCACGTGATTCTGTCCAGCTCGTCCACCGGCAGCTGTGAAGGCGGCACCTGTGTGTGGTCACTGGCACCTGTGCCTCCTGATCGACAACCTGCCTTTTTCTACGCTTACTTAAGGTTGAAATTCGTAATTCACGCCCCAGAAACACACCTCAGTGCTCCTTTCGGGGTTACCATTACACGTGAAAAACGAGGAGAGATTTAAACGGGGCTCCTATTGCTCCATTTCTAGTCGAGGGTGTGGGTTAATATCTACTTATTTCAAAGGAGACTCTAAGGTTGTTTTTTTAAGTCTTTAAGGACAAAACTAAAATACGTAAATGGAGGGAGGAGGGAGCCACAAAACTCAAAACCACAAGGCGTCAGGGCCCCACGTCCCCGTGAACGTGGATGCGGATTCGCAGAGGGTCTCCTCAAGGCAGGGCACCTTCTGTGCCCCCCACACCCAGCTTTCCAGCCAGCTCTCACCAGGTGGTCAGACAGAAGTACAAACCTCCTGCCCACAAAGCCCCAGCGGTCAGTCATGCTCTCCTGTTGTTCAGGGCACGCTGGGGGAAGCACGGGGCCACCAGGAAGGTCAGTGAGGTGAGCACCACCCACCCGAGAGCTCGGAGCCTGGTCCAGGGCCCAGGGACGCCTCGAGGGGTCTGTGAATCTATTCCGTGTGAGACGCAAACCTTTCTGGGAAAAGGACTCACAGCTTCAGCCAGGCCCTCAAAAGGTCGATGCCCAGGGGCACCCACAGGTAGAGGAGTGGCCAGAATCACCGTAGCTCCACTTCCTCCGCACAGCACCCCAACCTGCGTCCACACCGCACACCTGTCCCACTGCTTGCTCGTGGGCTTCCCGAGAGGCAGCTGCATCTGATCCCAGACCCATTACGAGAGTTGTACTTGAGAGTTTGTTTTTTTTTTTTGGCCACACTACACTGCTTGCAGAATCTTAGTTTCCCAACCAGGGATTGAACCCGGGCCATGGCAAGGTAAGCCCCAAGTCCTAACCACTAGACCGCCAGGGAATTCCATGTGCTTATTTTAATTATATACTTTGATAATAAGTAATGGTAAAGAAAGCTGTTTTTTCAAAAACAAAGTTGAAGGCTTTAGATAATAAAGTAATAAAGGCAAACTGTTAAAGAAAAATGCTGTCAAACTGAATGGATAGAAAACTGAAAGAGTAAGAAAAAGTCATAAAAATATAGGATCCTGCACTCAGATTGCTTCTACGTTCTCAGTTCATTTTAAAGAAACAAAACTAGAGACGTTAATTGCTTTGTGCAAGATATTTAACAGAGGATTTGATCACTGGGGCCAAACTCAAAGGAAGGCCTGTGCTCTAAACGAGACACCACACCAACAAAGACGTATGTTTGCGCTTGAAGGTGAAATAAACACACTCCGGGTGGGCGTGCACTGTCCCTATGATTCCAGTTTTATAGTTTAAAACAGCTGATCAGATAAGAGGATTTTCACTTTACTACTCTGCAAATGCGATTTCCACTCTCCACTGTGATTAATAAGACACAGTATCATTACCAAAAGCTACACTGTCCCAGCTCTGTCCACAATGAACCAGGGCGAAGCTCAGAGCATCATGTTTTCTCAAATCAGTACCTTTGGAATTTTGGCCCCGAGGTCCTGATACTGCTTGGGATTCTTCAGGAAATTCACAAACTCCATGATCTCCAACTTGGCTTCTTCGCAACCAGCCACGTCTGCAAAGCGCACGCCGACGTTGTTCTTCATGATCTTGGCTGTGGTCTCGCCAACGGTAAAGAGGCCCCCTCCTCTTCTGCCATGCCCAGCCCCCATCGGGCCCCTCCTTGCGACATAGAGGAGGATTCCGATCAGGAGAAAGGTGGGCACCAGGCTTCACAAGAAAGACCTAGAAAGTCCAAGAAAACCATCTGTCACATTCCCTTGAGAGACAAGCCAGAAACACTGCCTCCAGGCCATGAACAGCGGACGGCTCCAGAACTTGGTTTTGCTACACAAAAGGGAACAGTTTTTTTTGTGTGTTTTTTGCGGTACGCGGGCCCCTCACTGTTGTGGCCTCTCCCGTTGCGGAGCACAGGCTCCGGACGCGCAGGCTCAGCGGCCATGGCTCACGGGCCCAGCGCCTCCACGGCATGTGGGATCTTCCCGGACCGGGGCACGAACCCGTGTCCCCTGCATGAGCAGGTGGACTCTCAACCACTGCGCCACCAGGGAAGCCCCAACAGTTTGTTTTTTAATGTGCCAACCTGTATATGCAGCCTCCCCCATCCACGCACACCTACCTGCTCGATTTCACCTGTGGGGCGGGCAGGGCAGCTGCGGCCCCTCCCTCAGAACCCCTCCAGACCCAGCACAGCCTCCCCGCAGCTGAACCCTTCCCGGCCCACTGCACAGTCCTCAGGCTGCCTAGCTAAACATTTCCCCGATCAATTCTTTCCTCAATAAAAACAGAGCCAACAAATTTATCTTCCACCACAGACACTGTGACTATCGGAGAACGCCTGTAACACGCCTGAGCAGGTACAGCAGGAAGTGCTGCGTGGCCAGTACCGGGCCCAGCTGCGCCCACTCACCCATCGCTCTCGGTGGTGTAGACCACGGCCGTCTGCTCCGGGAGCTCCATGCCCAGTTCCCAGTGGACGGTCTCCAGGTTGCGCTCGAAGGTGTGCACGCTGCCGATGTTGAACCACACAAACTTCTACAGAGACCAAGGCGCCAGGCGCTGTAGGGGGTGCCCCCCACAGCCGCCACCCCTCCCCAGCGCCTCTCCCAGCAAAGCCCGGAGCAGCTCTGACAGGCCACCTGTCCTGGCCCCAAACCACAGGCTTAGGTCTGAGGTCGAAGTATAAATGCCCATCGACAGCTGACGTCGCCTTCCTCCGTCATTTTATTCTTCCCCCTTCCAGATCTCAGCTGGCAGCTGGCACGTGTTACTCGGCAAAACTGAAGCACTGTTATAGCTTTATGAGGGTCCTGCGCTACTCGGAAGACTGTTCCTGTCGTGTCACCAAAACAAACGAGCACAAGTGGGTGCTGGAAAGTGAAACCAGGGAAGGCATTTCTCTAAAAAAACAGAAAACTATACCTTCTTTTTGGCCACGAGGCTTGCGGGATCTTAGTTCCCTGACCAGGGATTGAACCTGCACCCTTAGCAGTGAGAGCTCAGAGTCCTAGCCACTGGACCACGAGGGAATTCCCAGAAAACTACACCTTACGCTAAAACCAAAACCTACGTCTAGGACACCGGCCTTGAACCCAGCCCTCACCTCAGACGATGTCCCAGGGGCAGTAATAACACCCACAAACTGTTTGTTCACGACTTCCAGCCGGTCCACCTAGAAAAGAGACGAGCAGTCAGAAGAGCTGAGGTCCCAGGCAGGGCACGGCATAGCAACCCTGGGCCTCTTCCTCAGACGAGCCTCACACACACGGGCTGCGCCTCTCTCCGAGGGCAGCTCACACTCCGCAGGACAGGTCTTGGTTTTGTTTCCTACTAACATGGACAATTTTAGCCTGGGATTATTTTAATAAACAGGAACCAATGCAAGAAGAGGGATTAAAATGTGGCACATCTGAGCACTAAGCCTCCAAACTGGCTTTAAAAATCCCAAAGGAGGGCTTCCCTGGTGGCGCAGTGGTTGAGAGTCCGCCTGCTGATGCAGTGGACACGGGCTCGTGCCCCGGTTCGGGAAGATCCCACATGCCGTGGAACGGCTGGGCCCGTGAGCCATGGCCGCTGAGCCTGCGCGTCCGGAGCCTGTGCTCCACAGCGGGAGAGACCACAGCAGTGAGAGGCCCGCGTACCGCAAAAGAGAAAAAAAAAAAAAAAAATCCTGAAGGAGGGAAGTTCCCTAGTGGCCTAATGGTTAGGATTCTGGGCTTTCCAGGTTCAATCCCTGGTCGGACAGCAGGCACCACAAGAAAACAGTGCCGACGAGAATGAAAGTGCAGCGCCAAGGCCTGCTAGCTGCTGTCGCCTAAACAGCCCGCTGCCCAGAAGGCACAAGCCCTCTGGGGAGCTTCAGACATGGCCTGCTGTCAACACCACCATAACCACTGGAAACACCACACCTCCTCCTGGAAACAATGGGAAAACTGAGGATTGCACGCCAAGGACACGATCCTGAGTGTGGAACCTCACCACCACCCGACGCCTGTAACACAGCTGAAACCACAGCAAACAGGACTCCAGGTGACTGCCCACCCTGGCTTCTCCGCCAGCACGCGGAGCCCCAGCCAGCCAGGCCCCGCCAGCTCTCAGGTTCATGGAGGCGAAGACATGGCGCATCCTCCCTGCCCCGTGGGACCCCTGCCCAGCTGATCCCTCACACTTCCCCCAGCGCGGTGCACCACTGCCGGAGTATGCAACAGGACAGTCAGACAGAGGGTGTAAAAGAGTGAGCAGCTCTGCTTTCAGACTGGCCAGGAGGATCAAAAAAAAAGGCCAGCCTGAGTTAGCAGATGGTGATTTCTTTCTTTATACTTTTTATTTCCCCAAATTTTTTTGCAGCAAGCATGTATTACATCTGTAACCAGGAAAAAAAACAATGCTGTTTTAAAATGAAGATTGCTGGGACTTCCCTGGTGGTCCAGTGGCTAAGACTCCGCGCTCCCAATGCAGGGGTCCCGGGTTCGATCCCTGGTCATGGAACTAGATCCCACATGCCACAACTAAGAGCTCGCGTGCCGCAACTAAGGAGCCCGAGTGTCATAACTAAGAAAGATCCAGCACACGGCGATGACGATCCTGCGTGCTGCAACTAAGAGCCAAATAAATATTAAAAAAAAAAAAAGCATTCCCCTGAGTAAAGAAAAGGTGGGCACACAGAGGCTTGAGACAAAAATCACTTTCTCCACTAGGCAATCCATCCACAGCCAGCCAACAACAGCAGACGCAGGGCCTGAGCACAACATTCACACAAGTTCCAGGATAAAAGCCCGAGCTGCCCCACGACGTACATGGCCCCACTGCAGCAAGCCCAACGCAAAGCCATGGAAGCCCGAAGGCCAGAATGATCCCAGGAACAGCCAGACATATTATAGGATAGAGGGAAGATGTGCATAAACATTAAGGACAAAACACGAGCCTTCAAAGAAGTCTTACGTTTGTAGCGAATCATGTAAGCACTCCTCCCAACGAGCTTTCATGGGCCCCGCTCCACTTCTTGCTCCTGGCTACCCGAACAGGAGACATTTCCCAGGAGAAACACACCCGCTGAATATTCACTTCACCCACCCACATCACCAAACTACGCTATAACTTCACAAACAGATTTGTCGAGGCTTCAGATCCACACAAGCTATGGAGGTGCTGAGCCCCGAAGACAAAGGGAGGGAGGGAGGCCACGTCCACAAACGAGTGAAGGGAAGGAAATACCAGGCCCACCCACACACGGGCCACCGGCCGCTCACCTCCCCAGACTAACTCAAAATCAATGAACGCTTTAAAAAAATAATAATAAAAAAAAAAAAAAATCCTCCAGTGGGGACTTCCCCGGCGGTCCAGTGGTTAGGACACTGTGCTTCCACTGCAGGGAGCAAGGGTTCAATCCGTGGTCGGGGAACTAGGATCCCACATGCTGCACGTGTGTCCAAAAATAAATTAATTACTTAACTTAATTAAAGAATTAAAAAATTCTCAAATGTACAATTTTGACAATCTGATTTGTCAAGTGTCCCTTTTACCATTTTGTTTTCGTTTTTGTTTTTGTTTTGGAGCTGTTGGTTTTCTAAGTCTGGGTTTCTTCTACTCCTCTTAAAGAACTTCTCAAACCCACTGGGACAAAATGATGAGGTTCTGGTACTTTAAGAGCACACACCACACTCACAAAAGTAGCCATACTGTCAACCCAGGAGAGGCAGAGTAAGGGAGAAGCGGGTTTTCTTCCTGACTTCAGCTTGGTGAGACCAGCACGCGCCGCCATGTCCTAACTGCCTTCTGCTCTGCACTGCACACAGGGTCTCCCGAGAAGCGTTGAGCACAGCCCACAGCCCGCCCCCGGGGGCACACGTGCCCCAAACTAACTGCAGTCTACACGAGATCTCTGTTCTGCTTTCCAAACGTGAGACTCAGCTTGGCCCTCAGATGTGCAGAAACAAAGGTTTGTTCCCATGCATCGCCAAAGATTCACCCAGCAGCAACTTCCTACTGAAAGAGTTTCTCTTTCACCACCTACACCGATAGATCAAAACTGTAAAGACGTGGGGCAGGTAACCCAGAAATGGGGAGAGCTAAGTGTGACTGAATGTGGAAGCCAGAAAACGAGAGGTCCAGGCCTCCTGAGCCATCATGCACCCTGTCCCCACTCCCCATGATGCAGGACACCAAGGAAGCCACACTCGCCTCGGTTCCTGTGACCTTATGCTGCCAACGATGGTAAGAGAAAGACAGGTACCTTTGGGTGGTTTTGAACACAGCCACTGGGAAACTGACGTCTGTCTCTTCCACAGAGCCAACTGCTGAAAGCGGATTCCCAGGAGGCACTGAAACGGGAAAGAGAATTAGCTTCCCCTGCAATCCGATGGGGCATCTTCTCACAGCGGCAGTTACAGGCGCAAAAGGACCAGGATTTGGGCTGGGGTGTAAACCTAAGTCCTTTATCTGCTTTATCTCATTAAAAATATGATTCAAACAGGAGAAGAAGAAACTAAATGCAATGCAGAGGTACACGAAGAATTTTTTTTTAATTTATTTATTTTTTATTTTTGGCTGCGTTGGGTCTTCGTTGCTGCACTCGGGCTTTCTCTAGTTGCAGCGAGTGGGGCTACTCTTTGTTGCGGTGCACAGGCTCCTCATTGCGGTGGCTTCTCTTGTTGTGGAGCACGGGGCTCTAGAGCACAGGCTCAGTAGTTGTGGCGCACGGAGTTACTTCCTCCGCGGCATGTGGGATCTTCCCAGACCAGGGCTCGAACCCATGTCCCCTGCACTGGCAGGCAGATTCTTAACCACTGCGCCACCAGAGAAGCCCCATGAAGAATTTTTATAGCTACAGCTGTCAAAAAACAAAACAAAACAAAACTAATCACTTCCTGCCTGAGGCAATTTTAGTCACTGAAATTTTTACAGCCTCAAAAACAAACAGTATTCTAACATTAAAATCATATGAAATTTAAAAAGCAGAGTATTATGATTTATCTTTGATCAGCCACAGGTTAGTATTTTTGTCAGGAAAGCAAATGTTTTTCCTAGACGTTGTATTTTCTATAGTTCCCAAAGAGGAAAACAACACTTTTTACCATAAGCTGATAACAACACTTAACATCAATTCAGGACAGAACTAGAGACAATTTCGGTTTTTCACTATCACAGGTCAAAAGCCATTACAGCAAAAACGAGCACAATAAAAGCCACCATACTAAAAAACAAGCTCTAAGCACACTCACTAACCTACTACTAACTGTATCCAAAAAAACCCCAACCTAACCAAAGATTTGGATTGTTCCCAATATTTTGTTACAGTGAAACTGGATCCACAGGTGACGACACTTGCGTTATTCCAGTCGTGCCATCTTTCATGGTGAGGCAGGCTATTCCCCAAAGCAAACTCATTCCCTAGTGATTATTAATTTGCTCGTAAGCCACATTATTCACACATCCCTATCAAAGGCCACAGAGCACTAAAAAGTAAGGTAAAGCTATGAGAAAGATACTAAAATCAGGGAAAACTCCAAACAGGGAGGCTCAGGAAGGAGACATGGCGGTTAACAGTGATGAGGCTCCTGGAGCCTCTGCGCCATGAATGCCACCTCCCCACCGTCGCAAGTCACCGCGCACAAGGGGACCAGAACCTGATGTCACAAAGGCTGTCACTGTGAGGGGAAGTCTAGGCAAAGGCGCAGAGAAGGTGGTGGTCCTGGGCCCTGGTTGGGTGCCAGGCGCTTCGGTCACCTCCTCCGCTCTTCAGTGCCCACCCTGAGGAAGCAGGTGCTGCCATCCCCCTGCGGGGTGGGAACGCAGAAGTTCAGAGAGGCTGGTGAGCGCCTGAGGTAAGGTCACTGGGAGCTGGAGGTGTGTGACGAGGATTCTGGCGCCCAGTCTCGCTGTCAGGCGGCCTCCAGCCCTAGAAGGACAAAGTATGATCTTCAGGCCTCCAAAACTTGAGAAAATATCCAATTCCTTTATTCTAATTTATAACTTAGTCTTTTTCTGATTTGGTTAGGGGACCACATTAGGTCAGATGCAGCTCTCAAAGACAGGGGTCTACCACCCATTCTTGGTGTTTGGATATGCAAAGCCCACACGTGAAGCTGTGCACAGCAAGTCTCCCTTTAACAAGCAAAGTACCACGGTCCTTTCTTTGTAAGATCACAAATCAGGTGACCCTGGCACACAGGTACAGCCCCACCAGCCGCCTGTGAATCTGCCCACAGCTCAATCCTCACTTCCTTCAGAAGTCGATTACCCCGCCTAAGATAACGTGACATTTACCCTCCTCCACCCCTTCTCTTCGTTCCCTACTTCCTTTGTTCTGCTTCCTCTTCCTTCATACCTCATATAACCGCCTAACATGCTACGGACACATTTGTTGTCTTGTGTGGCAGGAACCATGTAGGAAGCTCACTGAATGAAAAAATAACTCATAGAAACTTCCAGAACATAAGCTTCCCCTTGAGGAGTGCTGACTATAGTTGAAAGGGCACATCTTTTAAACTATAAAGCAGTCTGCTACTTCATCTCCAGCCTTCACATGCCCCCCTCAGCCTACAAGTCACCAAGCCCTCAGAGGAGAGCAGCTCATGGGGCAAAGCCCTTGCCTGTCCTGTTCCCTGTGACATGCCCTGGCTAGCAGACTCCACAGATGAACAGAACAGCTCAGTCTGGGGAGGAACCCAAAGATCATGCAACTTCCTCCCTTCATAACTAAAGCCACTGAGGTCCACGGAATTCATGACACACCTGTGCTGCACCCCGTCAATTACTGCCTTCCACCCGGTTAACAACTAGAACAGCTCCCTGCAATGCTGAGTGCCACGTGGCCACAGGTGAAAGGCTCTGCTTTCACTGATATTGCGGAAACAACCTGAAACTGACGTGCACCAGCTCCGAAATGAACAGAGATGAGAGGGAAAAGTTCACTCCTTAAGACAGGACAGAAAATGAACCCATGGAACCCTTCTCTGTCTTTCAATACTGTCTGAAAACCAAGATAACTTTCTCCGATCAAAATCCGGAGGCTCCACATTAGTCCCTCAGAAAAGAATTCAATGTGATCACTGCTCCCTGGGATGTACAAAAACAAACCTTAAAATATGGTGTATTTCAGAGTATCTAACCCACGGGAAGGCGTACAATACAGGAGTATCTAAAAGCGAAGATGCTGACCAGTTGTGGCCTTACGTTTCCTCGCCTATAAAATAGAGTTAGAACAGCTCCTACCTAAAGGACGGGTATAAGACTTAAAGGAGACAGTCCCCGTAAAGCCCTTAGCACGGAAGCCCTCAAAAAATATTAGTTATGATTAGAGTGGCAGAACTGGACTGGACGAATGCTGTTCGAATAAAAACCACATAACACTTGACAAAACTCTTTCACGTCCGTCATCATAACGGAGAGCAACCCTGCGAGATAGTGCAGAAGTCATATCACCGCTGAGCCCAGGAGGAAACCACCTCGCGGTCGGAGCGGGCGCCCGAGGAGACACGGTAGGTTCGCAGCGGAGCGAGGCCTGAACGCAATTCGCTGCACGCGGCTCTTGGGAGAGCGGAATGAGGACGCGCGGGCAGTGGGCAGGGCGCTGAGAGGCAGCGGGAACTTTCGAAGAAAAGGGCGGGGGCTCGGAGGACAGACGGAGACCGGTTCGGGCGAGCGTCAGCCTGCTCAGCCGCGGGGATGGGCTGGAGCCCCGGGGCCAGCCGGCCGGGGGTGTGGTCGCCGCCGCCGCGCCTCCGCCTCTCGGTGCCCGGGTTCCCGCACCCGGTTCCCGCGCCCCGCTCCCCCGCGCTGGCCGGGGGATGTGGTAGCCGCCGCCACACCCCCGCTACTCGGTGTCCCGGTTCCCACACCCGGTCCCCGCGCCGGCCGGCGCAGCTGGATGGCGTCATCGCGGCGTCGAGCGCAGCCACCGCCCCTGCCGCCCAGAACCGGAGGGCAACGCCTCCCCGCTCACCTGCTGGGCGGTTCCGAGGGCCCTCACGCCTGCCCCAGCCGTCCTGCCGCTTCGTGGGCCACCGCCGCATCGCCACAGCACGGCGAGCGGCACGGCCACCTCCCTGCTGCCGGCCGCCGCCACCAGCCACTGCAACATCCAGTGCAGCGGCAAATAGGTCATAGGGCGCCACACCCCCAGCCGACCTCCGGGTGCCTGACGCATGCGCGGTGAGGCCAAGACGACGGCGCGGGGACCTCTCCTTAGGTGTCTACTCTACGGCCTGACGCGGATCTCAACCTGCGCGCCGCCCTGGCCCGCGGTGACCGACGCGAGCGAGGTGCTGAGGGGACATCCAGCGCCCTTAGATTTATTTTAAATCCGGCGTCTCCAAGGACAGGTATTTCCGGGGTCCTCCATGGGAAGCGGCTCACAAGAGCGATCGCCGGCCCGCCAGGCCCAGCCCGGGGGCTCCTGGTGGTCCCGGCGCCGCGCTAGGAACCGGTTCCGGGAGGAAGCACAGCACTGGGGCTGAGTGTGCTGTGCAGCCTACTGCCGCTCACCGAGTTGTTTCTGCGTCACGGAAACCCACGCGTGCTGTCCAGGGAAGTGGACGCTCTGATCGACGCCAGAGGGCCACGCTGGGCGCCCTGGAGCCCAGAATGAACCGGCCTGAAACTGGGCAGTGTCGTGGGCCGGCCTGTGCTGACCCTTCCACGTCCCCCGGGACGGCAGCCTGCGCCTCCTCGAAGCCCCACTTTCTCTTCCCCAAGTTCTGCAAGGGGGCATAGAATAACCACAGGCTTTCTCGCACCTGGGACTGCTGTTCTTTTAGTACATTCCGGAGGCAAAGATGCCTGGGAAAAGGCCCCGAAATGCGACGGCCATCCCGAGTGCCAAAAGGGAACGGAAAGCAATTACCCTCGACGTGAAATTAGAAGTGTTAAGACGGTTTGAAGTGGGTGAAAAGCTCAGCCAGGTCGCAAAGGCGTTAGGCCTTGCTGTCTCTACAGTGGCGACAATCCGAGATAACAAAGAAAAAATCAAAGCGAGTTCACAAATAGCTACTCCGTTGAGAGCCTCCCGTTTGACTCGCCACCGAAGTGCAGTCATGGAGACGATGGAGCGGTTGTTGCATGTGTGGCTTGAAGACCAGAGCCAGCGAAACGTGCCCCTGAGCGTTACCGTTATTCAGGAGAAGGCTAAGAGTTTGTTTGATGACCTACAGCGTGAACAAGGGGAGAGCTCTCAAACAGCAAAGTTCAGTGCAAGTAAAGGGTGGTTTGTGAGATTCAAGGAACGCCACTGTTTGCCCCACTTCAAGATGAGCAGCGCGGCTCCTGGTAAGGAGGATGTATATCCAGAAATCCTGAAAAGCATCATCCAAGAAGGTGAGTACACCCCCCAGCAAGTGTTTAATGTAGATGAGACAGGGCTTTATTGGAAAAGAATGCCTGAAAGAACGTTTATTTCGGTAGAAGAGAAAGCTGAGCCCGGGTTTAAATCATCCAAAGATCGCTTGATGCTGCTGCTTGGCGGCAATGCAGCTGGGGACTTTAAGTTGAAGCCCTTATTGGTGTACCACTCAGAAAACCCCAAGGCTCTGGAGGGGTACTCCAAGCCCAATTTGCCTGTGATTTGGCGTTCCAATAAAAAGGCCTGGGCAACCAGGAGCATCTTTCATGAGTGGTTCACATACTTTTTTTGCCCTGCCATTGAAAAATACTGTGCCCAAAATAATCTCACCAACAAAGCACTGCTCATCTTAGACAATGCACCATGCCACCCAGTAAATTTGAGCGATCTGTCTGATAATGTAAGAGTGGAATATCTTCATGACAATACGGCTGACTCCATCCAGCCCATGGGTCAAGGTGTGGCCTCTACCTTCAAAGCTCATTACCTGAGAAGGACTTTTGAGCACATCCTAGAAGCAACAGATGGGGACGATACAGCTGAGATCAGGGAGTTTTGGAGAAAGTACAGCATCGTGGATGCCGTGGACAACATTGCAATAGCTTGGGAGGAGCTCAGGCCAGCAACAATGAACAGTGTGTGGAAGAAGATTTGGCCCGAGTGTGTTCAGTTCCAGAGTGTTTCCCAAACAGACAACATTGCCCAGGTTCAACAAAATATTGTGACCCTTGCCAAGAGTGTGGCCCTTGGAGAGGTGGGAGAAGCTGACGTGGACCAGCTGCTGCAGTCCCACGAGGAGGGTCTCTCAAATGAGGAGCTGGTGCAGCTGGAGCAGGAACCGGCGGGAGAGGAGGAGGAGGGTGAAGAGGCTGCACCTGCCCTGCGCCAACTAACCACACGGGAGCTGTCAGCAGCCTTCTCACATTTCGAGGCTGGCTTGCAGGTCCTTACCAGTAACAGCCCTGATGATGCGTGGAACCTGAAAGTTTCGAGAGCAATCAACGATGCAATAAGCTGCTATAGGGACCTGTACAGTGAGAAGGAGTGGCGCTCAAAGCAGCTCTCCTAGGCGACTCGGTGTGTGACCAGACGCGACGGGGTGACCTCCTGGGCGAGGCCCAGCCAAGCCTCTGCTTTCAGGTGTTTAGTATCCCTGGAAACCCTGCTTCTGGTATTTTCATTTTGACACGTAAGAGCATCAATTTTGGCATTAAAATTTTACCTAAATATGTGCTTTAAGAAGATTGAATGAAAGAAAATCCAGGAAAAGTTATTTAAAACAAACTACAAGGAGACTATCCCCGGTAGACATTAAAGCACACTATAAAACCTCTCTGATTGAATCAGGGAGATATTCAGACCTGTAGAATACAATAGAAAGTCCAGAAATAGATACAGATAGGCTTTTTTTTTTAATAGTGCAGGACAGCTGGTTAAAATTTGGCAAAAGATAGTTAATTCATAACTCACAGCATACACAAGAATAAACAAACAGATGAGGGATCTAAATGGAAAAACTGAAACCATGGAAGTACTACAAAACACACGGATGAATGTCTTTGACTTGGGTGTTGGGAAGATTTTCTAGGACTCAAAATCTAGAGGAAATTTAAGATTAATCAGTTTAACCATATGAAAAGGTAACAAAACTTTTCTATGAGGATAAAATACAAGGTCAAAGGCAGATGACACACTGGAAGAAAATTTCTTACAGATAATGGGCTAATATCCCTCATAAGTGAAGGACTGTTAAAGATTGAGAATACCAAAAATCCAATAGAAAAGTGGGCAAAACATAGAATTCATAAATAAGTAAACTAGATCCTGAAACATAAGCTTGACCTCAAGAGAAATGCAAGTGAAAGCTATACAGATACCATTTCTCATCATTCAGATCGGCAATGATCAAAAAGTGTGACTGCACATTCTCTTGGTGTGGCTGTGGCGTTACTGGCACCCTCATTCATTGCTGGTGAGAGTGCAGGTTTGCACATCCCTTACCGAGGGGCATTGAACACTAGTGAAAAATATATTTCTTTTGATTTAGCAATCCCACTTTTAGGATTATACCCTAAAGATACACTGACAACAAAAGAAAATGTATGTGCACGGATTATTTGTTGCAGCCTTGTTTGTAACTGCAAGAGCTACGGAACAGCCTGAAGAGTCTCGAGTGAAATAGTCACATATAAAATGGCACCTCCACACGGTGGAATGTAAGACAGTTGTAAATGATGATAGCTACCATAATAGTAGAATAAGGAAGAACTCAGCTGATGTGGAGTGGTTTCCAGGATATATTATTAATTGAAAAAAAGCAACGTGCAAGAGTAGAGTGTGCTACCTTTTGTGGAAGAAAGAAGGGAAAATAAAATACACACGTATCTTACTCCTGTACGAAAAGAAACACAGGAAGGAGAAACTGGAGACTAAAGAGATTGGTTATGGGGGTGGGGGGGAAATGTAACTTTTGTACCTTTTGGGAAGTTCTGATTGGGGAACCATGTTAACATATTGCACAAACAAAAGTAAACAAGGGTAGGGAAATAAAACAGTGGAGTATATGAACGGAACTGTGTTGCGCATGAATTGCGTATCCACAACGAAGGGGGAGAAACACCCAAGTAAATTTTAAACACCTTATTTTGACTATATGCCCTCAGACTAGAGACAAAAAAGAATCTAAACAAATATTAAACGCTTGTTAGTAGCCTTGTTTTTCACCAGCATAGGTGAGCAATGCCGAAGGTGCTTTGTGTGTACTCTAGGATTGAGCAAATGAGTATATTATGGATAATGGAGCCGGGTCTCTCACTGTCAAGCAAGGGAATTGCAAATACGAAAAAGGGAAAGAATGACTCTTGTGTTGTTTTGAAATTGGAAGTATCAGTGTAAACTCATGGTTTTTAATATGTTTATAGACCAATAAGGAAATGGACATGCAGTACTATTTCCTACCCCAGCCATGAGCGTAACCAACAACCACATCTTGTTTCCTGAGTGCCATGCTCCACCAGAAGGTTCTGGGGCTCCTCAGAAACATGACTGGTTCCAGGGCTGGGACTGGGGAAATTACAGAATAAGCCTGGAAGACCTTGCTACGCTGGAAAGGAAGCAAATGCCTAAAGAATGCCAGGAACATGTCAAAAGGACACAGGAGACAGGGGGACCAAAGCATCTCCAGGAGTAGGACAGATGACACACTACAGACACAGCATCACTTCTGTGAAAATCCCACCAAAAGTGCAAAGCCCAAATTCAATCAGAAAAACCCACACTGAAGGAAAGTCTTCAGAATAATTAGCCTGTGCTTTTCCTTTTTTTTTTTTTTAATTAATTTATTTGGCCGCGTTGGGTCTTCGTCGCTGCACGTGGGCTTTCTCTAGTTGTGGTGAGCGGGGGCTCCTCTTCCTTGCAGCACGCGGGCTTCTCATTGCGGTGGCTTCTCTTGTTGCAGAGCAGGGGCTCTAGGCACACAGGCTTCAGTTGTTGTGCTGCCACAGTAGCAGCAGTTGTGGCTCGCAGGCTCAGTACTTGTGGCTCGCGGGCTCTAGAGCACATGCTCAGTAGTTGTGGCGCATGGGCTTCGTTGCTCCGCAGCATGTGGGAGCTTCCCGGACCAGGGCTCAAACCCATGTCCCCTGCATTGGCAGGCAGATTCTTAACCACTGCGCCACCAGGGACGTCCCTAGCCTGTGCTTTTCAATGTCAGTGTCATGAACCCTTCCAGATTAGAAGCTAAAACGACATGGCAACTGAATGGCAAAATCTGAATATGGTTTGTTGTAGGTTTTATGGTCCCAAATCAATGTCAACTTCCTGATGTTATGACCGCACCGCAGCCGTGGAAGGCTACGTCCTTGTTTGGGAGTAACACATGAGTTACTTAGAGGCAAAGGGGCAACTTAACTGCCACATGGTTCACAAGAGTGTGGAGAAAGGATGAAGCAAATGGGGCAAGATGTTAACATTTATGGAATCCAGGAGATGGGTACCCCCTGGGAGTGTTTCTGCAACACTTCTGTAAACCTAAATTTGTCAAAATTAAAAGGTTAAAAGGAAGTACTCTTTCATACCTGAAGGGGGTGGGTGGAGGCTGTGTCTTGTGATGCCCACGTGCAGCCTTACCTGTTTGAAGCTGGGGGTGCCAGCACCAGGCCCACGGACCCCCCACACGCCTTTCCCCCACCCTCTGCCTGTGCCCCCATCGAGTTCTCAGGTCTCCTCGGCCGTAGGGCTGATGTCTGCCAGCCTGTCTGGATGTAGCTGGATAAAGGCACCTTCTCAAGCACATTCCTGATGTTTTCTTTGAGATCCTGGTCAAAACCAGGGCTCATATCTCTAGAGCAATGTACATACACAGAGGTTTGAATGTAATTTGGGAGGGCGTGCAGGGTTCTCCTGAAGTCCAAGGGCCCTGTCAGAGGGTCCAGCTTGTGAAGACGCGAGAGGAGCTAGACCTGGGGCCTGCACTACTTACAGTGCGTTAACGAGACAGTCTTTCCACCGGGAGGGTTATGCAGAGAAGACGTAGCTTCTACTCACTGAGCATTCTCCGTGTGCCAGGCTGTGCCCGGCGCTTCCTGGCACCCAAACAGCCCCACCAGGGATGTGTTTTAGTGTCTCTTAGAGGGGTCAGCACACTGAGGCCTAGGCACGATGCCCAGATTACAGACGACCCCGTTGGGTGGGGAGGGCTGTGGGCTGTGGGCTGTGGCTAAACCTGTGTTTGATTCGTATGTCCAGCAAACCCTGCCCTGTCCCCAGTTCAGCACACACACCACGGTCTGGAGAACACAGACTTAGTGAGACAGGGGCTGCAGCCCATTACACAGCTCTCCTGGGAGGGCCTGCCCATGCTAACTGGTTCCTTGGTGGGTTCTTGCTACCACGAGCTGGACTCAGAAAGACCCACACATGATTCTGTTTAAAGAATTTGTCATCCAGAAGGGGGAGATGGGGCAGAGGTAATGGGGGTAGTTTAAAAAAAAAAAAAAAAAAGAGCCAACTTTGCCCAACAAATGGCAGCTACTAACGTTTCTTATGGACACAGTGATAGTAACTGGAATAGTGTGCTGATGACACGGTAAATTCGGGGACAGCCAATATCCTTATGACAGAAATGCGATGCTGCGGTGAGACGTGTGCAGATCTGGGGTGTAGGAAGAGGGCATTTAGCCTTTAACCCCCGCTCAACCCCGAGAAGAAAGGGGTCCCGATGGGGGCCAGCCTCCCACTGTGCTCAGCACAGAAGGAGGGGATCGCCTAAAGCCACCGGACAGGGCTTCCCTGGGGTGCAGAGGGGTGAGGAGGGGGTGGTGCTGTCTTTACCCACCACCCACGTCGGCCCACCAGCTAACTAGGCTGGCCTTTCCTTTCTGCTGGCCGAGCCTCTGCTCGGGCTTCCCAAAGGTGATGGACGCCCCGGTGGCTGTACCCCCTGCCCACCGCCCACCTGTGTGTCAATAGTCAGCACACTCCAGGGCGGGGAGGAGGGCAGAACCGTGCAGCCGTGTCCTGAGACGTCCTCCTCCCACGGGCCTTCCCCTGGACGGCAGGGTCTCCCAAGGGTCCCCGCAAACGCAGCTCCCCCACTGGATAGCTGGGGGTCAGTCCTGCATCCTGGGCTTCCTCTGCTGGAGCAAAGATTTCTGGCGCCTGACCTCAGGCCCCCAAACAGAAGGCCCCCGGTCGGAGTCTCCGAGGTCTCTGCAGGCAGGCACCGTGGTGGCAGGACGCAGCTCCTCGGCACACTGGGTCCCAGGCCTACTGTCACCAGTCCTCTCACCTAACCCTGACCTCCCCCGGGGGCACAGTCCCTGCTCCACACCTGGAAGCAGGGCAGCCTCTCTGGGTGGGACCCCCAGCCCCCCAGCTTGGAACACCAGGGTAAGCTGGGCTGGGCCAAGGCAGGAGCGGCGGCCCGTCCACCCAGCGGTGACAGCTAGGTGGCCCCTTCCTTCCACGTTGTGTAGAAAAAGCCAGTAACCCTTGGACTGGCCCGCCAGAGGAGGACCCAGAGAGAGAACCCTGGTGGGAGGCAGGGGCAGGGCCCTTGGGAGATAGTTATGAACAGCCCCAGCCAGGGACAACCAGAGGTCCCCAGAGAGACAAGGGGCTGGGGGAGGGAGCCTCCACGTAGAACCCAAACCATCCACCGCAGATAAAACTCAGGCCAAGGCTGAGTGTGTGCAGCTGGCATCCTCAGTCTTGTCGGCCACTCCCTGGAAGCCCTCCAGGATTTCCAGGGTGGCCCAGGCCCAGCAGCCTTGGTCCCAAGGGCGTGGGGGGCTCTTGGCCAAGGGGAGATGAGAAGAATCCCTCCCCCACTCCCCTCCCCTTAAAGCTCTGCAGTTCGGGGAGGGGGTGCACATCCTGGCCCACACAGCAGCCGGAAAACAGCCAGGCTGTGGCTGCCCCAAGTCCCGGTAAGCGCTAGGGGGTGATGGTCCTCGTGATGCCCCACGAGGCCAGTCATCCCCCAGAGCTTACCATCGTCCCCGAGGTGCTGGGGAGAGGTCCAGGGGCTGTAGCCTAGGGTCTCCAGAGCACAAGAAACACCTTGACTTCGGCAACAACTGGCAGGGCGGGCCCCAGACAGGCCCACGAGGGGTTCTGTTGCTCTAGGCGTCCACGTCTGGACCAGGCTCCTGGAAGAGTGACTGCTTCCGCAAGGTAAGGCGGGCACACCTAGGGCACGTGGTGGAATTGTCGTAGTAGCAGTCCCTGGGGGCAGGGAGACAGGGTCAGCCCGGGAAGGGGCATGGCTCCCTGCACGTAGACATCTACCACCGACTCTTCACAAGCTCCTTAAGTCAGGTCCCAGTATCCCCCCAGATGGACGGGGAAACTGAAGCAGAGTTTCTCCCAAAGGGTCAGTGCAGAGGGCTGCACCCAGGCGTGCCTGCCAGGCCTGCTGTCCTGTCCCTGTGTGCGGGCCCTTCCTAACGGCTCCACACCTATTACCTGTGGCCCTGTGACAGGGAGGGTTCTGCTCAGAGCTCAGTGACCCCCGACCTGTCCCCACTGCCGTGCAGAGCCTCCACTCAGGGCTCTGCGGAGGTGCACACGGTCCCCACGGCAGTTTAAATGTTTGAAGGGGGCGTAGCGGTATTTGACAGGACAGACACCATGCAAACTGCTAGCTCGAGGGAGCTCACGGTTTTAACAACAGCTCCTGCTATAGTCACTGCAACGGCAATCCCAGCTCTGCAGACCTATGAGGTCGGCGGTGGCTCTGAGGAACTCCAAGTGCCAGGAAAAACCAGTGTGGACTGAAACAGGGGTGGCGGGGTCCCACCTGAGCCCAGTGTGAGAAGCTGTGTGGGCCCAGCAGGCGCGCGCCTATTGGTAACTGTGCTTAACGAATTCACACATCTTTCTTCCGATTTCTGTGTATCATTCTTCCAAACATCCACAAGTCTTTAGGACATAAATGCTTAGGTTGTTTGAACCTAAGTACTTAATACACAAAAATGTTAGGTATTTCTTGTGGCCTAGGGAACGTTTGAAAAAAAATCACAAGAGCTAAGAAGTTTAGGAAGCCCTGGCCTCAGCTAAACCTCAGTCCCGG